CGATGTGTCTGTCACAGACACATGCACACATATCGAAGTACACACTTACAAAGACACTTTCGGTCTCTCTGTCTCTCACACACACATAACTGTTCATACACTCAGTAACCACCCAGAGGGGACAGTGAAAGGAGAGTAGAGAAGAGATGCAGAGAGCAGGCAAGGTCGTAGTTCCTGTGGACTGTCTTTGAAAGGGGAGTCGTATGTTTTCCCTCCCCACCCTTTGATGTTAAAGCAGTCTCTTTACTAGTGTAAAGATGGGGTACAATAACCTAGACCCCCTCCAACCCCTCACCTAGCGCCTCTGTACACCCCCACAAAGCTCTGCAGGGGGACAGGTAACCCACAGCAACCCCAGCCAGAAACCAGAATGTGTGTGGCAGCTGTCCAGGACCTGGGCAGTACTGTGCGAGTGTGTGTGCGTGCACTTGTTTGTCTATGTACTATATGTATGCAAATGTTGAAGTCTTTAGGTGCACCAGTCACTGTAACAAACAAACAAGGAAACTTCATGCAGAGTAATGCATTGATTTAGCATTTGATATTTAAAAAGCACAAATGGTTCTGTTTAATAATTTTTCAATATTTTGTCATCAAATTATGCCATCATGAAACAAAACTTCAAATGATTTTCTAACATAGATGAATTAAGCAAAGCACTACACTTGAAATAACTAAATTAAAATATGATGCGCATAGTAAACATTTATACGGAACTCAGTCATTGACTTGTTTTAATGACCAGAACTTTAATAATAAACAAAAGCGAATAGACTTTTTTTTTTTAATCATTTTGCTTTTTTCTTTTTTTTATCAAGCTCTTCTCTCAAACCTTTATTTGATTTATTTGATTTAATGTCAAACAGTATTTTCATAGACCAGCCTTTAAGGTGTCGTGGATAAATGCAACAAAATAAAATGTTACAACCAAGACAAAAACTGGTGTTTTATAAATATAATAATAAACACGAATTCGTTTGTGTAACTTTATTAGCAGCGTCTTCCTGAAATGCACCAACAACATTGAGAGTAACATCCTCCTCTCTGCCCCTTAATGCACTCTGGTCGCTATGGTAATGCGTAAATATTTCTTTCAAAATAAGACGCACAACTACAACATGGGAAAAGACCCAGGGAAACCAAGTTAACGATAAAAACCCTGAAAACCATAAATTTCACACCGGAGCTTAAACTCTCACGGCCCGGTACCAAACGACTCAGGGAATGGTACCGGTCCATGGCCCGGGGGTTGGGGACCACTGTACTATACTGCTTTGGGTGACATCCTATTCTTAATAGGATGTCCACTCAGCCTTTGGAGCTATTACAGCTTCAAACATTCTGGGAAGGCTTTCCAGAAGGTTTTGAAATGTGTTTATGGGAATTTTTGATCATTCTTTCAGAACCACATCTGTGAAGTCAAACACTGATGTTGGATGAGAAGACACAAAGTTGTCCAAAATGTCTTGGTATGCTGAAACCTTAAGATTTTATTTCACTGGATCTAAGGGACTGAGCCTAACTTGTAAAAAAAAAAAAAAAAACCCAAAATCACACAGTGGTTCTTGAGCTAGTCTGAACATCACATGAAGTTTGGAGGTCTGTAGTGATTGACTCTGCAGAAAGTTGGAGACCCCTGCGCACTATGTGTCTCACCATCCTCTGACCCACTCTCTGATTTTACGAGGCCTGCCACGTCATGGCTGAGTTGCTGTCGTTCCTAATCACTTCTACTTCTACTTCAGTTGACTTTGGATTATTTAGTAGTGAGAAAGATTCATGACTGTACTTGTTGCACAGGTGGGATCCTGTCACCACACTGGAATTCACTGAACTCCTAAGAACGACTCATTCTTTCACAAATGTTTGTAGAAGCAGTCTGCATGCCTATGTGCTTGATTTTATACACCTGTGCCCAAAGAAGTGATTTGAGCACTTGAACTTAGTATTTGAATGGGTGATTGAATACTTTTGGCAATGCAGTATATGTCTCCTCATATACCTAGTGTGAACGATCTCACCCTCAGTTGCTTTATCCTGCCCAACTGCTCAGATACATATGTGACCACAGGGCTAATTTTTGTCCAGTACAAACTCCCCTATTTGTGCTCTCATTTTCTGTATCCCCATCAGTCTCCTTGTTTCCTCTATTTCCAGAGACCCAGACATCTCCTCAAAACAGAACCTTTAGGCTAGCCAGACTGGCAATAACAGAATGAAAGCTGTCTGAAATTAGGTTTTCAGTCCAAAAGAGCTGACTTCCTCTTAAGAAAAAAAAAGCTGGTTAGGGGAGGATGAAAGAATCCTCTTATGTCAGTAAACTCGTTTCACCATCACCACTGTGCCATGCTAGCCCTGTGTTATCTACGTGTATTTTTGTTGGAACTTGTAGTTTTGGGAGTTGAGTGGCAAAATGGGATTTTTTTTTTCTCCCCACACCAAGAGGACCAAGAGGGCAAAGATAAGAGAGAGTCCCCTCTCAGCATTAACTACAGAAAATAAGAGAGAGGGAAAGGCGGAGAGCATTAACTGCACAGATAGAGGAGTTAATGGCTAACACAGCAATGCTGTGAAACATACAAACTATACAGAGATCCTGCACTGTCCTGTGAGGAGCATCAACATTTATCTGTGGGCTAATCTGAGTTCATCCCTGGTTGGATTTTAGTCTCATAGATTGGGGCAGTAGTACATGTAATCAAATCTCTCCTAGGCTTTTTAATAAGTGCATATTTAACTCTCCTCAATTTTATTTTATTTACTTAACATCAGTTCACAACAACAGTCACTTCAGGGTGCTTCATATCTTATGTAAAAACCCTACAATATGACATGTAAAGCAGGATTTTGTCCAGGCTCAAAATGGAATTTTTGTGAGCACAAATGTTCACACATAAGCACATTTGGTCTGCATATATTTAAAGCAATGAGTCTGTGTTACCTTACTTAACAGAGGTCCATGCCTATTCCTTTTATTCTTGGCAATTTGATTAAAAATGTATTTTATGCTTGAGTAAATTAAACCCCCACTCAAACAGAGCTGGTGGAGAAATATTTTTATTGCAGTTCTGGTAATTTTCCTTTGCGGGAGAAAACCAAAGCCTCACTGTCTAGATAAATATTAGTCCTCATTTCAGCTGAGTGCATTTATATCATTTATGTTTCCATTAGTTTATTCTTTGCTTTGCTCTCAGCCTGACTATGTGCATCTCCGTTCCTTAAGTTTAGGACAGTATGCAGCGTTACAAGAAGCATAAAGAGCATGAGAGTGAACAATCAATAGGGAGTAACTAACAGGGAAAGCTTTTCATTTGTGCCTTTCAGACATTTCAACTCCCTTGATGGCAACAACTAATAACTGCGACCCTCAGAGCAGTAGTGATAGCACTTGTGATTTTATTATTCCGCTGAGAAATGTTTTTTTTATTTATTTCCGAAACATCACAGCAGTTTGGCTATTGTTTATACAGTCTGACTAAAAACCAGTCAACAACAGTAGTACAGGGGGACACCAAACAAAGGGCATGAGAAGACAGCCACAGCTCAACCCTTTAAGGAAGCAATGGAAACTGCCTGGAGAATAAAGTGTGTAATAAAGAAGGAAAGCAGAGGCTGTGAATCTGGAATGCTGACTGGTTTGTCTGAGCTGTCAGCCCCAAAGTGTTCGTCCTTCAGTCCTCAGTGATGTGTGAATGAATGCGCAAGCATCACCGCTTGTGACCTTGTTTCGGTGTCAGTCTGAGTTCATGCACACGTCTGTCTTTTTGGTATGTTCATATTAATTAGTTGCAGTTATTCCATCTTACCAGTACTTCAGGTGTAGCAGGAAGGTTTGCCTCCAGAAGAGTTTTGTCCTGCATGCAGGTATTTGTCATGTGTTTTTTAAATAACACCTTGCCATTACTCCTACTCCTGATAATCGACTACTAGCACTCATACCACTAATACAGACATAATAGGAAAATCTGATTACACTGTTACATTTCCTATTTTTAAATGTTAATCTGGCTGCAGTGCTGTGCCATACTCTGATTATATGTTGATCTTGATAATATTTTTGTGTGACACCACTGAAAGTTTTTTTTCTCTCTATTTTTGTCTTGGCATACTGTATTATCTGAATTAAACTTCACAAGCACATTGCAAGCCTACCAGGGCCCCACTGGGCCTGTGTGCCAGGATGCACTTATGCCACAGCCATTCGTCCATCTGTCCACAATTAAAAAGAATCACTTCTCCTCCTACAACATTTTCAGAATTTAATCAGACAAGTGCACATTGATCACCTAACGAGTCTTCACGTGTGTTCAAGGTCAAGCTTACAGGCACTTTTCTACTTTCACAAGAATTGCACCACCTCCTAGAGTATTGTACAGATTTTAGTGGAATTTGGCCACATTGATCATGTAATTAGTTTTCACTTACACTGAGTTTAAGGTCAAGATTACATTTGTTTTTTCTGAGCAATAACCTGGGGTTTGTGAGTGATCGTGAGCAGGGTAAGGTACTGCATCACTCATGTTCTGGTTAGTCAGTGCAGGTATTTGTTAATGCATCTTATTCGCTGTTCTACTAATTAATATGGGCTAAATCATTCATTGCTTCATCTAAATGCAGTGCTAGATTGCTGGTATAACGGTGCGCTTGAATTGAGAAAAAAAAAAAAACAAACCCAAAAACTCCTGTATCTCTTTTCTCCTGTATGCATATTCTACCACCCACTCCACCCACTGCTTCTTGTCCTTCCCTCTTTTATTTTTCACTATCAGTAATAAAAACTTTGAAAAGGAAAAGGACACCACCTCATCTCTGGTTGTCATTAAAGTGTATGCATTTGTATTTGTAGGCCCGTGTCCCTACATGCAATGCTTCGCTTGACCCTTTGACATAAATGGCCCTGTCTATTATGTCTCCTCATTAAGATATTTATCTGTGGTCGTGTTTGGTCTGCCCCTTCTTCGTCTTCATTTGTTCTTTCTCTCACTTGTCCCTCTCCTCAGACTTGGGTTACGCACCTCCATCAGATGGCGTTCTGCCTGGCTGAGCTGCACTTGTGGTCCACTAAGGGCTCACTTCAAGTTAAAGGTACAACTTATCAACATGTTCAATCTCCCTCCCCTCTCTCCTGGATTCCCTCCTTTCCTCTTTCTCCCTCTGCCTTGTTCTGGCTCTTTCTGTCATCACTCACTTTGTTGATGCACTTTCTAAGTACTTAGATCTACTTTTGCAATCTGACTTTCACTTCACATCATTTTTCAATGAATCTGTTTGCACTTTCTCCTGATTTCAGTGTTTATTGCATCATACCTTAAATTCTTTATATTGTTTTTACCTTTTTTGAACACAAGCAGTTACAGAAACCAGGAAGACATCCATGTGTTGGCCAAGGATTCCAGATTTGTTGACAAGGAAAGATTTAATATCTTATCCACTTTCTAGCCTCCCTTCTTCCTATTTTGCTAAAATGCCTTTCCCACTACAAGGTCGCTAGTTTAAAAATACAAATAAATGAAACAAAAGCTAACTAAAAAGAGTCATCTGGCTTTGAGAAGCTTTTTCCAAACAGTGCTGTACAAGACCTGAAAACTATTGACATTGAGAAACTGCCTTGTTGGGCCAAGTGTGGTCTAAGTTTTACTTTTCTGGTAGTTTTTGTGAGGTACCCTACTCTTCACCTATCAGTCCATCTCGTTTCTCCATTTTCTTGTTTTCTCTTCCCTTCCTTTCTGTCTTGTCTTTCACAGTCTGCTGAGCTTCAGGCGAAGATAGTGTCTCTCTGAGGCTGTGTGTGTGTGTGTGTGTGTGTGTGTGTGTGTGTGTGTGTGTCAGCCTATGTGTACACACAGAGGTACGGGAGGGTGTTTATCATAGGTGACAGTGACATATCCTTATTTGTTTGTTATTTTTTTCTCCCCGCTGTGTGTGTTTTCTGCTATCTGAGAAAACGTGGATAGATCCATCTGAGGGTAGAGACCTGGTCGCTGAGGTGTGACGCTCCCTATCACCACCTTTCTTACATCATATACGCCTACCTCAGAAACAAAAGTATAGAACTTAGAAAAGCAGTACAGTGCTGTGATGCTGTGAAATGCTGTGTGTGTGTATGTGTTCTGCATGTGCTAATCACATTTTTAATAACCGCTGACAGCATTGCACAGCTCGACTACTTTTGCACAGGGGGACCTCAACAGAAGTCAACAGATTTTAAATAAGGATGCTGATTTGATCTAGAGACTGCCACATGAGGACATCAACACAGAATTAATTGGGGTTTGTGTCCTTATGTGGAAAAACCGAGAATTTTGCATAACAAAAAATTCCCGTATGAAGCCTTTTAATTCCTTAATTGTAGACAAAAAAGGAAGCAAGCTTACAATCTTTCTGTTACTTGTGCTTCATTGCTGCTTGGGAACCAAAAGGCCTGATTTTGATTTCCGTGTGTCCGTAATTATTTCTTGTGTTGGTGCATCAAGTGGTGCTAATCACAAAGTCGTCATGTCCTGATGTTTTTTTACGAGGTGTCAGCGGGTTGACACCTCGGGTTGAAAGAAATAGAACGAAATAGAAGATAGGACTTTTTTTTACCCTCCTGTGTCCCCGGTCTTTGTTGTGGTCAGTTTTGTTTTTTTAGGGGCAGAAATATTTGTCTCTGTAGTTTTTTCACTTCTTTCTTTCCCTCACATCAATTCCAATAGTTTTAGCAGTCTCCCTCCAGGAATTTGCTGACTTTTGTAAGTCCTTATACTGATGCTATGATTATTATCCTTTATACTGAGGCAATGATTGTTGTTCTGTCACTGATAAATTAAACAGCTGTGGCAAAAAAGTGCTGAACAGGCAAAGCATAACAGTTGCAGCCTGCATAGACCCGACATGTAGTTACTTTTCTCTGATTTTGTACGCTAACCATTATTTGACATTTTGCCCACTTAAGCAGGATACTATTAAATTATACGATTACAGGATATAATTAAAAGTAAGGTAAAATGTGGTGATCGACTTTGAACAACTCCAACTTTAATAATGTGTTCGTCTGGATATGCGACAGGACTTCAGGTGTCTCTTGGTAAACAAATCTTTCCTTGCATCATCTGTGTTAAATATGTGCTGTAGGTGTGCAATAATGTCTTCCGAAACCCTACGCTGTAAACCCGAATGTTCAAAGTAATTAAACAGATTAAGTAGTGTATACTCAAAGTCTTTAAAAAGTTCTGTTAACTTAAATATGTCAAGTTCGTATAACATGTTCTTCTTTTTGAGTAAATGAAACTAATAATATTTGATTGAATTTAACTATTTCTATATTAAGTAAGCATCACTTAAAATAATAACTTAAGCACAACGTAACACAGTTAAGTTAGGACATATAAGAATGGTAAAGTCCTGTTATTTTTGTTGTTTCAAGTAGGTAGGATTTAATAATAAACTTAATTTATGTAGCACATGCTAAAATACAATAAAATCTCAAAGTGTTTCACCAAATAAGTAAAATCAAATTGTCTTAAATGCATTAGTGGAAGACAAAATGTATTTATTTTAATATTCATTGTTTTATCACTGTGTCCTACATATATATTTTTAATTTTTTCCGTAAGTGTTGAGCAGCTGCAGGAATCAATTTTTATTCCGAGTTAATCTCTGATTCACCCTCCGAAGCGGAAGGCGGCGCTAATGAGCATTAATACGAAACACAGAAGAAGTAAAGGTATATGGGCGGGAACAGCACCAAAGAGGCAACACGGACGACTGGAGAAAGTTGGACCTAAAGGCAGCAACTAGCATCACTGAACTTACAGTAAGTTTTCAATGTTGATATTAGTTTATTGTTAAAATACGAATATTTAGTTGTATTTTGGGTGCGTGTCGAAAAGAATAGCAGAAATGTCGGTCCATGTTTTTTATGTGCTTTGCTGCTCTCCCCGAAGGAAACTTTGCGCTTGCAAAGCTAGCATTAAGTTGTTGTAATGAGGGTCGCAGGCTGTTTAAAAAGTTAGATACTACTTGCTCTAGAGGTGGCGCCCGGTCGCCTAGTATGAAACAAAGTATTTTAATCTCTCTAAATTTTTAAACCCCCTCTCATGACTCAGAATAGTTGGGTCCAAACAAGCCCGTTGTCCCTGCAGTTACACAACGGAGATGCCTGTCTGCAGTGAGAGTGCTTTCAAGCAGTTTTCTTGTTAGAAACGCTATATTTTAAACTATATGTGCAGGGTTAGGGTTGTGAAGGAGCTCTTGGACCTCTGGCCTGCTCGAAAAATGGAGTCTGAGGTAATATGGATCAGCTCTGTTTAAAATGAAAATTGTAATTCTTACTCATGTGGCAGCTTTTTGCTGCTTTATAAAGATGTGCGAGATTCTTCAAATTGAACTGTATTGTCCTTCTGCTGTAGTTGTATGCAGAGTTTCAGCGGATTACAAATCAGAACCTGCCCAATACATTCTACGCTGAACTTGACCGCCATCTTCCTCGACTGATGACCTTATTCAGCCAGGGCATCAAAAACTGGGAAGACAGCAGATGCCCTGGTTGAAATTCTAAGAATTCACAATGAACAGGTAATAATAGATTGTTACACATTTCATAGGTTGAACCAGTGGAACATTGGACAGGTTCAATGATTTAAATGAGCTTTTTGAATTTTGCTATTACTCCACTTTGTGTTTGCTATTTGTCTGACTGTATTAAAGATGTGAACAGGTTATTTGTGGACATATGTTCTGATTTGACTGTTGTTTTTGTTGTTGTTCAGTAAACTCACCAGTATATAAAATTCTGTTTTTATCTGGAAATAGGAAATCCATGATATCCACACCAAGCGCACTACCGTTCTCCACGCCCTTCCTGTCTATCTGCATGAGGATGTCTCTGGATTTTTCAGAACCTGCACTGTGAGTGTCCTTAAGTATCTAACAGATACTACTGTGTATATAAACAGTGCATCAAAGTACAAACATGTATTTTGATGCACTCTTTGGACTTACCTTTGTTTAGTCTACTCCTGTGTATTTCCTTTAGCTTAGTTTCAGTCTATCTCACACCACTTGATTCTCTGGTGAATTAGCTGATTTACGTGTGCAGAACATGGATCTTCTGTTTTTCACCTCTTACAGTGAGACTCAGGTCTCCCTTGTAAAAGAGGTATTGGATCTCAGTGGGAGTTGGTAAAATGAGAAATTATATGTCGTCTGTTGTATTTCTTGGGTTAGATTGTGATTAGTATCTCTTTTTCATTAATTCAGGACGAATCTGATGAGTTGGAGCTTGATGGTGTTGAAGTGGCCCTCTTCACTGTCATCAGTGACCATGACACAACAAGTCCAGTTCACTACCAACCTGTGAAAATCTCTGTCGTCATTGAAAGTGATGCCGTGTTCAGTCTCCCCAGATTTGGTGAAGCCTTCCTAGTAATGTTTGGACTGATCTATGCACTTCACCACAGCTACCCCAAAGCCCTGACCAACACTTTAGAATTTACTCAAAAGATTTTATTTGGTCTAGAAAGTGGTAAACTGTCACCCAGGTTACAGACCCTCAAGAATGACTTGGTTATGTAGGAACTCATCTGAAAGAAGGATGCAGGGTGAAGCATTATAAAAGGCTAGTTCAAAGTTCTCTCCTTTCATCTAAATAATGCCTCAAAACATTATTAGATTACTCTACAGGTGTTCAGCCAATAGGTCCAAACTATACAACGTGCCTTTGTTCTCATTAACATAATGCAAAGCAACACTAATGTTTTGTATGTTTTAATGTTTTTCGTAATACTATTTCCAAAACATTGTGGGCTGCGCAAGATGACCTAAATTTCACTGTTTGATACTGGTTAATGTAAAACAAATAGCATTGTAATTCACTCAAATTGCTGCCTTGTTGTCTTATTCAGATATTAGCCAGAGAGCCGAAAGCACATTTTGATATTATTAATTATTATTTTTCATTACTCTGACAGTTTTCCTGACTAAACAATTTTTGGTCTACTTATTTTAATTTATAAATGTTTTTGTTAATTATTTTTAATTTATGTAATTTTTTTTTTTTAAATGTATTTAATTTCAACATAGTGCTAAAAGGGAGCAGGCAAGATACTGTTCAATGGCAGATGTTTATGACTTTTGCATATTAAGTTACCGATACTCAGTGTAATTGAGGCAATCAATTGCCTCAAAAATTTTAAGTTTTGGGTCACATGTTTTTAAGTATCAAGCAGTCAACATATTTGACTAACGTGTACTTAAAATAATGACAACACAAACTAATAAACATTTGAGTTTTGTTAACATAAAAATGTTGTAGTTGTGTACTTATTTTTTATAAGTTCTGTGAACTTATTTCTTTGAATTTGTAAACTTGAAACTTTAAGTCATATTAACTGCAAATATTTGAGTTGACCGTTCTCAAAAGATACAAGTACCATGTAATCCAAACTTTTATGTTCTGGACAAATTTGGCTTTTGAGTTGATCAACTCAAAAAAATTGAGGCAATCGATTGCCTCAATTTTTTTGAGTTCTGGTAACTTATTCGGGTTTACAGTCTACGCTGTAACTTGTGCCACTGTGCACATTGCATAAATGCGTCTGCAATGACTGTGATTGGTGTATTTAGTAAGATTTTCTCCTGTGCATTTATAGCGACTACATTTTTTGCTGTACTTGGATAAAATGCAAAAGTATAAATCATGAATTTCCCGTGACACAAATGGATCACGAAAGGTTTTTCTTTCAAAACACAGATCCACGTGATTTGAGGACATCTTAGTCATTGTTTAATCTAGATCATATTATGTCTGTCAGAAAGCAACCCTAAACTGTTACTTAAGGCTGTGGGTTTTCAGTGAGAGGCATTTGCAAGACTGAATCTTTCCTAATTTTTAAAACCAAGCAATTTTTGCATACGTTTCCCATACGGTATGTGTGGTATATGTGTTTGTTTGTCTGTCTGTATGTGTTTGTGTGTCTGCCATCAGCCCTCCTGTTGTATTAGTGTGACCTGGCCTCAGGAGCAGCAGCAGAGGCAGCAAGAGTAGTGGAGCGATAAAGAAACGATGTGTTGTGCGAATCTGAAGCTGGCTGCTTATGGTTTTGGGGCCTGCAGGAATAACTCTCACAGAAAAAGTCTCAGCTCAGCAGTTTGTGTGCGTATGTGTGTATATTTATCTGTGCGCATATATGTGGGTGTGTGTGTGTTTTTGTGCTTGTTGCATGCCCTGTGTATGTCGGTCATACGTTTCTGTAGCTGTCCACAGACTCTTTATCTGCTTTTTTTAAATGTATATGTTGCATGTGTGTAAATCAGTGTTTGTCCCTTAGGTGGGATGGGTGAAGGCACACTCCTGTCTTTACTAATACCCCTCAGCCCCCCTTCTATATTGGCTCGGACCCCCCCCAGCCCACCCTACCACCTCCTCCTTCTCCCTCACAGGGTCTTATCTAAACTGTGGTGCTGGCAGACGGGACAGGCCACTAGCTGATAGCGATTGTTTATCCCACGGTGCGAAATTGCTGATCTGTCTTCTGCTTTTCCCTGACAGCTAGATGTTCATCTCTCTCTCTCTCTTTCTGCCTCTCTTGCCCCACAGATACAGATATTGGCACCTATCAGTACTACGATAAAGGAGAGCCAGGTAAATAGTGTTTATATTGGATGTCTGTTTGTGTTTAAGATAAGTTGCATTTGCCTTGTTTTTGGGACGTATGCGATTTCCTTATATATAAAGAAGGGCTTTTTGCTGCCTCCTGACACACAGATTATTGGCCCTGCGTATTTTGGTGTCCTACACACATTGACTTGTCCACATAGAGGCTATTAGTATGTAGGATTTACACCCTAAAACCTTATATACACATGCACATACTGCTCACACACGAAAATTATATTAGGCCTCCTTGGTTCTATCTCTTACACTGCCTGTGTTCCTGTTGACCCGGGGTCCTGCCACATAGCGATAGGAAAACTAAGCTGTTGACTTTCTCCTGGATCACATAGCAAGAGGCCCCATGCAGTCCAGCTTCATATTGCCTCAGGCCAGGAGGCTTCCCTTACCATCAGGAAGTGCTCAAATCGCTCTCCCACCGTCTTTGCTGCCTGGGGACGTTCTCCCTTATCCTTCAGGTTTCTCCCCCTTTTTTCCCACATGAGTGGAAACTCTCTTTTGAGAGGATGGGCTACTATATTATCACTAACAAGCTTGTTTAGCAAACTGCATCCATAAACTACTGGGGAACAGTTAATAGATAGCTGAATAGTGCCAAGTAAAATACATTTAATACAAATAAAACACTAGAATTATACTAAATCTTCTTGGAGAGTCTTTTAAAACATTTAACCAAACAACAAATGCTGTTATTTCAAAAGGCACCACTGACACTGTTCCACGTCCAAGTGAAGCCAACAAAAGATTGCTGGTTCAATTCCAGTCAGAGACCTAAATCCCTTTAGGGGTTGTGTCAGGAGGGGCATGCGGTGTAAACCTCTGCCACATCAAACATGTGAAGCTACAATTTGTGATAAATGAGCTGCCCACGTAGCACTATAAAGTACTGCAGTTACACATGTTTCAATATGTAAAGTACAGTGACACACTTATATGGCTGAACTTTTAACATCACTCAGGCACAACAATAAAACCACTATCAAAGTGAAAATTCACTATGCTGCTGGGAAATCCTAGGGTTTTTTAGCACCTCGTCATGGGACATGAAGCATTCCCAGCTGGTCCCTGTGCCCCCGTTTATTATAAAAGAAAATGATCAGGAGCAATCTGACAGACAGGTAGACTTGCCTTCCAAACTCCCCAGATTTCTATCCAGTTGGGCATCTACAAGATATGCCAGAACAACCCTGATCTATAGAAGCTCCACGCTGTAACCCACAAGACCCAACAGATCCGCTGCCAGTGTCCCAGTGCCAGACACCACAAGACACCCCCACAGATCCTGGTCCATCCCCTAACAAGTCAAAGCTGTTTTGGTGCCACGAGGAGGACTCACACGATACTACGTAGATTATTTTAATGTTTTAGCTGATAAGTTTTTTTCTTTTTTGTTTTGTTGTTTTAGCCCAAGAGTCTATCTTACCCTGAGATTTGTCAGCTTATATAAAAGAATTGACATGTTTTTAATTCTGTAGGTTTTGCTTCATTTTCAGTGGAAAATATCAGGACTTGTCTTATCTGAAGACATTTCAATATTTTCATCTGCTGCAATTGGTGAGATGTTTTTGGCAAAACTACTGTACTTTTTTTTTTTTTAAAACGACTGCTCACATTTTTATGTTTGACTGCTTGGAAGTAATGCAAAGATCTGATCGAACTTGAAATTAATATTACTAATTATATAATGAATATTACTTTATAACCACAATAATTTAGACACTTGGGTTTTTATGCATCTAACAAAGGTTAATTGATATTAGCCTTAGCATTCATGTGGCTTTTTAAGTTTTAAGTTTGATTTGTTTGGGTGAACCAAAATCTAAAATCTGGGACCATCCTCTTTCACCTTACACACAGTGGTTTGGTTTGGTACATATTTTAAATGGAACGGGTTTAACTAATCGTATCTTCCGGTGTAGTGTAGATATAGACCTAAATATCTTTGTTTCATCAGTTCTGTAACATTCCTGTAATCTGTCGCAGTCTCACACTATATGTTTCAGCGCCTTTGTCATGGATTTCCTTTGCTTTGTCATAGTTTTCTGTTTTGTTCTTATTTTGTGTACAGTAAGTCTCCCTGTCTCGTCTCTCCTCTCCGTCTTCCTTTCGCTCTCATCAGGAGGTTTTCTCCCTTCTCTCTCATCTGAGAAGCTGCCTTCTCTTTCATTCCAATCTTCAGTGTAGAGACGATGCTCTTGCTCCAAATCCTTTCATTTGGAGGATTACTAAAGTGTGGCTTGATATCAGAGTGGAGGGAGGAGTGGGGAAGCCGTGGGAGGAGGAGGGAGGGGAGAATCACAATCCAAAAGTATCACAACATTTTCACACAGCGGTGTAACGATAGCTTGGGTCATGATTCGATTTCATATACAATAGATTACATTGGATTACAATAGAATTTGAATGTTTTCTTTTCTCTGTGGCATTCAGCTTATATAAATAAGAGAAACTTTGTATGCAAAACTTTAAAAAACTGCATAACAATGATCTCCATAATGAGGTGGCATGTTTTGAAATGTAAAGATCCCTACAGGCCTGTAGTATTACAAAGCCTCTATAAAAATGGGTTTTGATTTTTGATGTTTCTCTTCAACACTGAATGTTCATATTAGACCAAATAAGCAACGTTCAAGTTGAAAACAACTTAAAGCATTTTTTGGTATGCAGAAATTGCTTTATTAGAATTATGTGGGTATGGTTAGATTAATTTTGATTGGTGGTGACCAAAAAAGTCCTCAGATTTTCAGTAACAGTATGCAATATCACCTTTTGTACCATGTGTTTATGCAGGACCTCGTCACTTATAGGTACAAAGCTGAGAAAAGCAACATTTTCTACTTTGCATGTGTGTAAAGTTTTTTGGGTTTTTTTTTTAAGTTTTTTTACTTTTTTGGTCATTTAAGCAAAATTCACATGTTTTGTTTTGGGGTTTTTTTTTAAAACACATTGTAAAAAAATTAATCTTTGTATATCGGTAAGACTTCAATGATTGGTTGGTCACTCTAGCCACGAGCATCATTAAAATCAGATTTTGTGTCTAGTTGTTTGTGTTTACCTTTGTTGCTTCCACCTGTCCCCACTAGAGGGAGACCCAAGCTCACTGGAGCAGCTCTGGGGGTCCCCAGCAGCCAGCCCCCCCTCTCCACGCTCCACAGCCCCAGAGCAGGTGCCCATGTCTGGGCCTGTCTGGCCCTTCACCCCCTTATCTGATTAATACTACTAATCCTGGAGGTGTTCCTGCCTGCCAGAGAGGCGGGCCACCAGACTGGCCACTGTCTTGCTCAGGGCAGCCAGGCCGTAAGGCATGGTTGTGGGTTGTACTTTGCCAACATGACCCCTTGGAGCTAAGGGGATGTTTGAGCTCCAGCTTAGTTTTCTTTTTCTGTCTACATCATATAATAAAACTAGATAGCATATTTAAATAATCCCAAATATTGTCCTTTTTTGTATTTTCTATATATTCCAATAATTCTAATAAATCCCTTAATATGGCTTCTTTATTGTTCCCAGCCATTTCCCTGGATCATCACTACTACAATGACAAACTCCAGTTCTGTGAAGGTAAGTTTTCCAGCAGTTTCCAAAGAGTGATTGTCACAATTGTGTCTTTCTTTGAGCTCTGGTCATCTCGCCATTGGATGACCATCCTTCAGAAATCACTGCAATACTCAGTCAGCTGTCCTGTTTTCCTCTTTTCGCTCTCTCCCACCCTCTCTTCCCTCACACTCGCGCTGCTTTTCACCCAGTGGTGGAATACAAACACCCTTATCAGGAGACGAACACTCATCCCCCTGCCCTCTTCTCCCTCCCCTCGCTCTCCTGCCCCCTCCTGCACTCACCCTCCACATTCTCATTTGCATGTATCTGTTTACCTCTTCTTCCCACTTATTCTTAATAGAGAAACCCCACTCCTTAATGGTTCGTTTCTATAAAGATGAAAAGAGAGGCTGTAAAATACACAGATAGGCAAGTGATTGCACCACATTGGAAACACCACTCCTTCATTTCCTTTTTTTCCCCCCACTGAACTTCATGTATATGTGTGGGCAGAAGCACAAATTCAATTAACTGGTTTTTTTTTTTCATTCTATATGCTTCTTTCCCTCTATTTAACCACTAGAGATGGAGGGGGGAGAAATGGAGGGCTGGAAAATTAAAATAAGGGGGGCCTTGGTGTGGTACTGGTTGAGATATGTTCTGCTAAATGTGAGCTTGCATTTAGGAGATAACTTGTATAAGAGCACGAGAAGTCCTTGATTCTCCTCAAGTATCGGTTTGTGTGCTTTAAAGGGACATTTTGCTTTCAGTAGAATATTTTTGCTTTATAAAGTAAAGTGTAAACAACTCACATACCTGCTGGTACTCCGTTGGTTGTACCATTAATTTATAGATAAGGAGATATGTCTTTTAAATGTCTCACATTTTTGTTAATAGCTCCAATCAGGGTGCCTGTCAATAACAGTCAATTAAACTTGAACTTTATTAAGTACTGTGTGGTGCATGTGTTAGTGTTATTTCGATAATATGATAAAGATGAAAATGATGTATATAATGCTTAAAAAATTGGAAAATATGCAGGTGAGGTGAAGGCAGTGGCGCAAATCAAAAGATACATCTATTCATTCATTTTCTTCCACTTATCCAATTCAGTAGTAGCAGTTTTAGTGTTGGGGGCACATATGACTCATGAGATAGAACTGCTCATCTACTAGGTTGGTGGTTTCATCGCAGACTCCATATGTTGGAAGCGAATCACAAATTGACCCCAGTGCATCCGTCAGAGTGTGAGTGTGTGTGAGTAATGGTTAGAAAGCCTTAATTAAAGGTATAGATTAAAAACACTGAACAGTCCTTTTTCCATTTACTTGTTTAGGTTTAGGGAAAAGTTGAAATACTTCTGCTTCTAGTACATGCTTTGACACTCTGGAAGTTACTAATCATTTAAGAAACTTTTTATTTGCAATCATTAAAAAAATGCATAATGTAGTTCTACTAAAAGCTAATTTCTTTATATATCACAATAAACATATATTATAACCTAATCAATTATATCACTGTTAAAAGTACAATGAAGAAATTACCAAAGTTTATTATCAATTTACATTCTTTAATGTATTTTAGGTATTATACAGTGTTACATTTAAGATAAGATGTCATTAGTGCCCTATTTGTATAAAATATGCAAAGTAAATCCAAAAACGCCTAATTAACCAGTTTTATCATTGGCTATCAAGCCAATCTTTTTCAGAGGCTCTTTAAAACCTCTGACTGTTCTTTTCAGTACTGTCATTTCCACCTATGCACTATTGGCTACTTCCTCTTCTGCTCCAATTTCTTAAGTTTACTGGAAGAGAATGGATCAACTCAAAAAGAGAAACTCTTTCAATTAGTGTTTAGAATATATTTAGAATAGAAGTAAGCGTAAGCGTAAGGCTACATTTTTTTGGCCTGTACAATGACGCTGCAGGCAATAATAACATGTAAATCTCCACATAGAAAGGCCTCAACTGACTCAGACCAGGACCCTTCTGGCTGAGTGCTAACCATCAAACATCTGCACCACGGTAAATGCTGTAGAACTACTCAAATGTGTCCACATGTTGTACTTTTCTCCCACTAGATTACTTAGCAGAGCAAATAACTCTGTCTTTAGTTCTTTCAGTGCAGTAGATTACAAACTTCCTGAGGTAAGGTCAGCTTTATTGCCAAAGCTTTCAGTAAGGAGTTCCCCATTGCCTCCTCAAACCATATTTGTGGTTGAATCACGTGGAGGTTCATTTCGCTGTCTGCACTCTTAGCAAAGACAATTATGCTACAATCCTGGAAATCTGATGTTTGAAAAGTGGTAAAGGAATTAGAAAATGGATCACACCTAGAGAAAATTGTATACAAACAAAAAAGGGACCAATTAGAAGGAAATAGACTAAACTGACTGTTCAAATGATTGGTTATTGGTGCAACAGATAAACTAATAAGTCATTACTGATTAAACGACTGGCTATGTGATCATTCCCCGTGTTCCCATGTATGTGTTTGGTGTTTTTTAAAAACTTCTCTTTTTTGTACATCTGTAATGTGCAAACATTAATACACGTGTTTAAAAAAAATCTTAATAGTTATTGGATTTTTCTTTGTTTTTGAACTCAGACATTAATTGTTTGTCTTGGAGCAGTGCAGCAACTCTCTCTGCATGCATTCACAAACACAATCACTGGCATGTGGACCGCCTGCCTCATCTACCTACATCTCCTCATTCCACCTGGCCTTCATTCCTCATATCGTCTCTTCTCACACTCAGATCTCTATTAACTTTTATCATTTCCGGGTTTTGGGCGCCACATTCTTCTCAATTCCCATGAGTGGCTTTTTAAAAAATGTCCGTGTCTGTGTTAAAAAGTTAAGTCACATGATCTCCCGGCTTTTCTTGTGTTTTTCCTCTGTAGCTCGAGGCTATTCGTGGACTCCCAGGAACCGCCGACCAGAAAAGCTACGCGATTCGCTGAAGGAGTTGGAGGTACCCGCCTCCTCTTTTCAGTAGCCCCCACCACCAACTTCACCACCACCATCCCTCCTGGATGCCCCCCATCTTCTTCCTCCCTCTGGGGATTTTTGGAGTTTTCCCTTTCCGAAACGGCCGATTGATTAACAAATAGGGGCATTCTCTCTTTTCTCCCTCTCCCTTCACTCTCCCTGTCGTTCCCGTTTGTTCTCCTCTCTCCCTCTTCTCTCTCATCACCTCTCTTTCGGCCGAGCTCTGTCATCGAGGGGGATATTTGAGGGGATCAGGGGCCTGCCTGCAGCCCCCTCATCCCTCCTCTTCCTCCTTCTTCCCCTCGCTCTCCTACCCCCCTCCCTTCTTCCCCTCTGTACTTGTAGCAGTACAGACCTAGCTTTGTTTGGAACCTGTCTGTGGCTGTCACACACACAGATGCACACACACACACTTTCCCCACCCATCCACCTCCCTCCTCTCACCCGTAACCATTGTCTGAAACTAGAAACACCCCAGCTCACCTCCACACCCCACCCTCCGCCTCCTTTTCCATCCCTCTCTCCTCCCATCCAATCACCCCAGCTGGGTTTGGAATGTGGCAGGAATGACTGACCTTACACACACACACACACACACACACACACACACACACACACACACACACACACACACACACACACACAGAGTTGTTACCTGCACCCCTTTCTCAACCCTCTTCCACCTCTTCATGAGCAGGAACTGCTGCAGTGACCTCCTGTGGTGGCAGTTGCCTGGTACTGTGTGCTACCAAGACAATTTATGCATTAGAAAGTTAGCGAATTGTGACTCCAGAAACTTACACAGACATATTTTTTGCTGTTTAATTTCCCACTCTGTCTAAAGCACCTGTCTGGTCTCAGCTCACTTTTGTTGCGTTACTTGGTTCAACTCTGTCTCTTTGTCTTTCTCTCCGTTTGTCCATCGTGCTCATTCAGGAACTGTTGCAGACCAACACCTGCATTCACACCAGATGGAGAAACAAGCACTGCTGCCAGGTATACACCCTCCTAAGCCCAAGACCTACTGTGTGGAAGTAGAGACACACACACATACACTCAGATATGTCTTTGTGGGTGAAGTTTCAAGAGTTTCTCTTTATTATACTACCGCTTACTAGTTCATCTCAAACAATATCAGTATAATTACAACATGGCATTTTTAAAAATCCCTAAGGCTGATTTGCATGTTGCTAATCCTGGTAAAAGCAAGTTTCTAGTTTTTTTAAATGTTAGTAATATGTGAATTTGTTTATTGTGTCATCCCCGAGCACGATCATTTCTTTAACCCCAAGTGATAACAGAGTAGTGAATCTGAGAGTTAAGCTAATTTCTTTAGAAATTAAACTTGTATTAAAATATCAGTTTTATTTTGCTAAGATTAACACAGAAAAATCCCCAAATTTCTTTAGCATCTAACCTACTAGTCCCTCTTTAGGACTCTCGGTTTATAAAAGAAAAATGATTTCCTTCACTATTTTCTTTCTTTCTTGAAATGAGCTAGAAAGACTCACTCTAGACATATTTCTAATATTAAAGATAATCTAAAGAGTAAACAAATTCAAACTATGCCACCAATCATAACAAGGATAAATAAACTGTATTTAATTCAAGTTCATTTTTCCCAGCTTCTTATGAGCATGAATGGAAGCCAGAAGCTGCTGTTTGAATTAGTAACATCATCCTTGGGTTGTAGTAGGAGCACGTAGAGCTGCACATCTCCTTTGGAGCCACGCATTTCTTGTCTTCTTTATGTCTTGATTATTGCTAAGTCAAAATCTGGTACATAGTCTCAACATTTAAGAAAATTACCTGGTTTAATTTCAGATGATAAACTTCATATGTGATGTCTTCTACATCACTAGAAGTCAATTTTCGCCGTTTTATGCAATGCATGCTTCACGTTTCCACATTAAAGTTCTTCCCAAAGTTACCTGTTGGATTTTAATTGTGATGTTACACTTCCTCCTCATAGGTGCACACCTTGTACATTATCTGTGACATTAAATGGGCTTTAAACTCAACAAAGGAGCTGCTCATTGTTGAATGGTGTAATAGAGAGACTAGACTAAATCTCTTTTAGCTGTAGTCATTCTGAGGTTTCTGTTTTTGTGTGTGCTGTCCTGCAGGTCATGCTCAGCAGTGGAGTGCTGGTGACCCTGACTGTACAAGGACCTCAGCTCGAACAAGTGTGTATAGACCGTACATTAGTGGGCCGACTACCAGCCAGCACGGTGACGCATGGTTAGTTGTAGAGGCACACTGACATAATGAATTCTTTACCCCCTAGCACATCATCACAGGACCCTAACTTAAAAAAACCCCTACACTTTGAAGAAAGTGATCCTGGCCCTTACTTATTGACTTTTAGCTTTATAAGCAGACATACTCATATACTTAAGCCCCCCTATAAAATCAGGCTACTTTAATAGACAGACTTTAGGACTGCATTTTTAAAATGTGAAAATTGCAAACATTTGGACTTTTCACTGTATTTTTCCTGTCAAATGGGCCACATCAAGAGAGCCTGAACTTTTTATTTAGTCAGAAGTTGTCCGTTTTAAAAACATCATCCATCGTCTGCCATACTGCACTAAAGAAAGTAAGTAATAAATAAACTGTCACATGACAGGGTATCTTTTTACATCTAATATTCCATTAAATAACTGAAAGTTCTTTTTTTACACCGTAGAAAATGACTTAAGTAGCTTAATGTTTCCTTTTGTTTGTGTTTTTTGTACGATGGCACCGTTGTAAAACTAGGATGACTTAAAATAGAGTAATCTGTAACACATTTTTTTCTTGAAGTGTAAGCCCCAGACTTACTGGTGTATTGCTGAAATCACACTTCATTTTCTTAAGACTCTCAGGCTCATTAGTATTATAAATGGATGGTATATTGAACATTAAATTACACTAAATTAAAGGGGAGCAATTTGGAGAAGTTTCTTTTTTATTATAGCTTAGAAGTGAATAATCTTACTGGTCTCATGTGGCTGTCAAACTAAAATGAGTTTGACACTTATTTGTTTTTTAAAGTCCAGTGATTGTAGCTTTATGTTTCAGGCATTTAAAGCAAGTACAGTTTGATGTATGTTATATGCTTTATTGTAAAGGTATAATAAGAAATTTCTTTGCTTGACCAAACGGTATGAAAGATGAGCAGCGTTTGTATTGACTGAAGGTCTTTAGGCTATGTGGAACATGCATTTTACATTAAATTAAAGTGTTTCAATGCTATATATTTGTGGCCCTTAATTAGTGGCCCTAAGTGCTACTGGGTTTGACAGCCCTGATCAGCTGGTCCAAGACATTCAGGGAGCCTTTAGTGTACAATTAACATCATAAGACATTTTTGACTGTCGTATTGGTTACTTTGGTGCTGCTGATGTTAATTAGTGCTGTTGCAACCGGCATGCCCATTATAGTGTAAACAAAGGGCTTTCTGGTGTATTGTTTTTATTTTTGAATTTACTGAAAGAAATTCTGTTTTTTAGGTGATTTAAATATTCCAGAGGTTCATTGAGCTTTAAGCAGATTTACGGACACAAACACAAACAACCTCTCTCTGCCCACAGCAACAAACAAACAAACAAACAAATGCGAACGCATTAGCATTTAAATGTTCAGTTTTATAAAAACCACAATGACGTCTATACCTCGCACTTTCTCTTACAGCGGCGGCATAGACGCCGCAGTTACACCTGCTCACCCCACATGCATCTACCGTCTACCCTTTCCTCGCCACTCTGTCACGCAAACACTCTCTCGCGCCACACGCGCCAACTCAGACACACATAACAGGTGCCACAGGTGAGCAAGGCGACTCTGCTAGCTAATTGCGGGCAAATCCTTTTGTGCTGTGTGTGTCCAGGGGCCTTCCCTTAAGAGCATCCATCAGTGTTTTTCCCTCCATCGCGCGTTCCTCCAGGGAGTACCGCCCCCCTCGCGCTGCACTCCCTCGCTCTGCAGACCTGGCAGGAGAGAATAAAGGGCTGTGGACACCGGCCCAAATCTGCTAATTATTTCTTTCTTTCTGTATCAATTATTTGTTCATAACACCGCCCTCCCCACTTCCGCCCGGGGTCTCTAGACACTTGATAAAGCCCCCATAGTACACACACACACACAAATTGGCATACAGACATACACACACTTGTCCCCATATGCATACATTTGCGATTACAGATTTTTCATTTCTTATTTTTTTACCCTCTTATAGACAAACAAACACTTTCTGTATGTCCACTCACATTTACACACACAGACACACACACAGGTACACACACACTAACTCATCTCCCGCTGCGCTCCATTCAAAGCCTCAGAGGCACTAATTATTAGAGTAATGGTTGTGAGAGGGTGGGTTCCGGGGATTGTGTGTGTGTGTGTGTGTGTGTGTGTGTGTGTGTGTGTGTGTGCGTGCGTGTTTTCAGGGTGGTGCAGTCGGTTAGAGGTTCTCACATCTGCCACTTGTTAAATTAGCCTGAGACAATTAGAGTAGAGAGCCTTAGTGGATCACACCATCTAATGCTTACAATGTACAGTTACTAAAACAGTTTACAATTACAGTTTTAACTCCTATATGCGTGTGTCTGTGTGTTTTGGTTTTTCTTGTTGTGTAAGGACATATGTGAGGTCAACGTGTGTTAGATTTTTTTTATATATATCTAAATTACTGCCATGTCAGATAAGTTGAAAACTTACTTAAATTGCTGCTCATATTGATATTTTTTTCACCATCAGTTAATGTGAATATTATTTTCTTCATCGTTTTATTTGTTTAATGCATGAAAAGTAAACCATAACTTCCCGCAGCCAGCCTTTTACAGCCCAAAGTGTATGATTTTCTGTCATGTGTTAGACAGGAAATCCTCATATTGTGAGAAACAATATTTGGCATTTTGCTTGACAATTATGAAAATACTTTTCCTTCATTTTCTTTTACCCAAGCAATTAATTGGCTAAATATTGCAGCTGTAGTCGAATCTTAAATTAAACTCTAAGCCGCTGCGTAATGCCAAAGAATTCATTTTCATTGTCTGAACGGGATTGGACAACTTTCTAAACGGAGAGAAAAAAAGCTTTTTGGTGTTTGTATGCAAACGAAAATCCCTTTGATTTGCATGGTTTCAGCTAAATGTGAGGTTTGGTACTTAAAGCAACTGCATCCAGGTCTGTTTTTATTTCACAAAGCAACAAAGCACACTCGTACTCCTTTGTTAAACTTTGCATCCTGAATGCTGGTTACGACAGTGTTCCTACCATGAGCTCTGATTGCATCATAAAGAGCTGCAGATTACAAACATTTTACACCATCAAAGTATTAGCAGCTTCCTTTGGCCGGTGGCTGGGCCAAGCTGCGCGTATGCTCTACGATTAAGCATCCTTAAGTGATTTTTTCATAGCCGGTTTCATTTACCACTGTTTAAATGTGCTTTGGTTAAGCCCATTGGCCTCTTATGTCAACATGCTGCTGAGGAGATGGCATTAAATGGATTTAGGGGACTGTGTGTGTGTGTGTGTGTGTGTGTGTGTGTGTGTGTGTGTGTGTGTGTGTGTGTGTGTGTGTGTGCATTTTGTCTGAGTACGTTTCGTGGGGCCATGTGTTAGCTTTGCCGTATGCTTGTGGGCGTGAATGCATTTCTACATGTGTTACTGAGTGTAGAAATGCATGCATAAACCGTGGTTGCAGGCTTGTCTGTATGAATGTATTTGTAGCTATCCGTGCATTTGTCTGCAATGGTAGATTTGAATGTGTCTAAAATGTGTGTGCGTCTGGGGTGTTCACGGGTGGGTCATGAAGGTCTGGTTCTTAATGCCAAATCAGCCACCTGGTCCCAGATTGGGCCACAGCCTGGGTTCACATCCCTTCCTTCATTTGGAAATGAATGGGATTAATCTTAATCCCGTTTATAGACACCCATCGAGATCAATACTAAACTGCATTTAACTCGATTTGTCTATAATCTATTACAAAGACGCTTACTACTGCATTAAATGTTGTTTTGTAAAGCTAAGGCATCATTAATGGCTGGGTTTTTTTTTTTTTGTTGTTGTTGTTTTGTTTTTTAATGGTTTAAGCCTTGAACCAGTTTTAGTTACGAATGCTTTATAATCCAACTTCAACATGAGGACAACCTGACTCAGTTGACCTGATTTAAAATGCTAGTTTTTCTGCATTTCTCTTCGCACGTGAATATTTGCATATTAATTTGAAATTTTCACACAACAGGATAATTTGACGTGTAATCGTACCAATACCCTACGTTTATAAATACACACATACCATGATTAATTGCTGGTTAGATTTCTGAATCTCGGGGTGCAGCCTTACTCGTTCAACTCAAAGCAGCAGATATCCTGCATGTGTAACAACACCCCCACCCTTTCCATTTAATTGGTTTCATAAACAGATTAATTTGAAGGAGAGGGAGGCTTAATTGCTAATCAGCGTTTCCATACAGCTCCTGAAGAGTTGAACAGGATCAAGTGTGTTCTTCTACCACAAAAAGGCCTTAGAGCTTCCAGTGCACTGACAGGAGGGGAAGAGATACAGAGGAGGGGGGGATGCAGGAAGGTGGAGATAGGAAACGAGTAGACTAGGTGAAAAGGAAAGAGTAGGAAGGAAGAATTATTGACGGGATGTGAGACAGATGCTCAAAACTAATGGAAACCGATGAAGGGTGATAAGCTGCATTAAAGTGTAAGGAGAGCATAATGTTTAGAAAGGATCTCCAGGACGCTGTACAGGTTGCAGAGTTAACAGTGTGGAAGCTAACAGGATAGGTCTGGATATTTTCCACATAAAAAGCCCAGTCTTTATTACTTGATGTGTCCAGCTGTCAGTGATTAATGATGAATATTAATGAAGCTATTGCAGACTTTGTAGATTTACAATCAGAAAAACTTGATGAATCATAACATGCAGATTTGCTACTAAATTATTCCACATTTTTCTCATGTGTTTACAAGTAAAAGCTGTAATTGTGCTCTAATAATATGGTTCTCCTCAATAGCACACAGTTGTGGTGGGTTTTTTTGTTCTGCTTTGAATGATGACATTTCGTGTGACGATGTCTTTGCCAGCGGTGCTGAGCGATAGGCTGATTCTGCTGTCCTTCCTGGAGCAGAGCCAAGTGGCGGCAGTCTACCTGAACAAAAAGACCCAGAACTCCCCAGAGACTGGCAGGCGAACAGACAAACTCTCACCCTCTGAAATCAAGGTACAGGTAACGCATTGATGGAGAAATGTGTGTGCTTAAGCATGTGTGTCTTTAGGTTGATGATTGCAAAAAGAGAGGGAGAAGTGTTTAAAAAATAAAATAAAACGGAGGCCAAAAAGAAAAAGTGCACTCAATGTAGCCAGCTGCTTGGGAAACACTTCCAGAGTGTTTTCTTGGATCAGTTTCACATTCGGTAGGGTACTTTTTCTTGTTGAGATTAAGTAAAACAGTTACATGTCCTTTCAGTGGACACCGGAGAGGAAATGCCATTAAAAATAACTATGAAAATGCTGCTAGGAAAGAAAAAAAACATGTTGAAGCTCAGTCAGAACCTGCTGGGTCCTTGATTTGTTATTGACCTTCTCCCTGTGACAGCTAGATAAATTACCAACTCTGGCTTGGAAAGTCCACTAAGAATAGTTTCCTCCAGTCTGTTCTCAATCTATATGGACGGTGGCATGATTTTTGTAATCTGTAGACCATCACTATGGATTTTGACAAAGATGTGAAAATTAAATCTTATTTAAATGGCTGTAAATAATAAACCATTAATCCAATATTTTTCTCATCACATTTTCTTAAATATGAGGTTGAACGCTCGGCCTTGTGGCAAAATGTGAAGAGGTTACAAAAAAAGAAATCTGTTCATGATCGCGAACACAAATTATTTCATTTTTGTGAAGTTAGAATGAATTTGAATGTAATGCATTTCAGTGGGAAGTATGTTTCATGTCTTTTGCATGTATTTTATCCAGACTGTAACCTGTGTCACCCTGCAACTAATAAAATGTTTATTAATAAGATGTAATAAGATGTTTCTGTAAACCTAACTAAGAAGTTTATAAAACATAAACATATATCCTGAACCTAACAAAAAACCTCTTACTACCTAAACCTAACACAGTTTCTAATGATAATTAATAAGGCAATTAGAGTAAAGCAGTTGAAGTCCCATGTAGGCCTCCAACTGTGGTCTGTGATGTAAAAAATGAAATGATTCACACCACCACCAACTGCTCTTTTCATGCTTTGAAAGAGGAAAATATTCCATTTGTACACATGACATGAATCAGCACATATGAGACCAGTCAAACGGAAAAATTGTTTTCAGAGACACACTTCAAGAAAATGAGGGTGGGAAATGGATTAAAAGTCATAAATATTTCTCCAACTGGTTCAGTTTAGTATTACATCAATACAATATACATTATCATGAGAATGTAGCCTTTATAGCTCACATGTTCCCAGTTTGACTCTGGCTCTGCGACTTCCCTGTTCCTGTCTGTTAATCTCCATTCAGGTGTGTATTGGGCTCCCTCTGATCTGAAGGTGTTTTTTTTTTTTTTTTTTTTTTTTTTAGCTGTTAGTAATATGCTTGATTATGTAGGACGGTTCTTCCCACAAAACAAAACTACACTCTGTCCTCCTTTGCTAGCTGGCTAACCGCTAACCCTGGCATTATCACATTACTGCCAGGCCCTTTTGTTAAGGGCTGTGTGTGTGTGTGTGTGTGGGGGGGGGGGTGTGTGGGGGTGTGTGTGTGTGTGTGTGTGTGTGTCAGTGTGTGTAAAAGCAATCGTTGCTGCTGTGCGTCTGTCTCCAGAAGCACAGTCCTGATAAGACACCCCCCCGCATCACCCCCACCACTCCATATTGTACATCCAACACACCTCTGTCAATGCATGTGCACATACATGCATGCAACCTGCGACCAGTACACACATGTGTACACATATGCCCAGCTGCCCATTCCCTACAACACACACGCACACGCGTACACGCCGCACTGGTCCAGTGGGCTAAGCTGGAGAAGGGAGAGTAGGGGGCGTTGAGGGGGGGGCTAAACTAATCCGGCCCACAGAAAGTGGTTTTTGATTATTGCTGACCAGCAAACGCCAGCAGAAAAAAAAACCTAGAAGAGCGAAGAGATGGGTAGGGATGGAGGGGACATACGGGGGGTAGAGATAGAGTGTGTTATTAACCCAGTGATTTTCAGATTTTATTTTTTCTTTTCCATTTCTAATCTGTCAGTGATCTCCCGTTCAGCTGTTTGGAGCAACTCTTTGTTCCCTTTATCATCGGATGTAGCTCCATCATTTTCAGGCGTATTCTGTGTCCAAAGCAAATTTCCCCCCCCCGAGGGGGCAAGGAGGGCAGACATGGACCACTGACTCTCAAATCTGCTCCACTCATACAGTACAGCTTGTTGATTTACTAATTTCTGCATGTTCTGGGACTTTTAGACCATTTTCTTTTGTTGAGACATGTTTTTAGTAATTGATTTTCTAAAGACATATTCCCAAATTCCTGCTGATGCCCTTTTAGGGGGATTTTGATGTTACAACTGCTCTTTTCCTAGGTTTCAAACATTTATTTTGGCACAAACCTCTCATTGATCTATTACTGATACTGATCTAATTAATCTGGATTTCTTTTTAACCTCTTCATGTGCACTTTTTTTGTTTCGTCCTTCACTCATTCATTAATTCATGCTTTTATTTTATTCCTCAATTCTCATTTCCCTGAAGCTGTAGTGCATGACAGCAGCTTTCACCTCACTTGCCTTTCTTAACCCTCTCTCCAAACCCAAACAATCAGCTTTTTTAAAATTCGTTATCACCATTTATTCCTCTCTCTTTTGCCTCCTTCACCTCTGTCCTCCCTCTACCTATCAGGTTTTAGCCATTCTTCTGCAGAGTGACAGAGGTCATGGATGTGTGTGTGTCTCTTAATGTGTGCGCATTAGCCATTGACTCTGGTTCCTTGTGTTAGTGAGTATGGCTGAAGATAAAGAATATATGAAAGGTTTGTATGAATATGGGGCTGTGTGTGTGTACCTGCACTTTGTGTGTCTATCCAAGAGTGTTTGTTTACTTTATAAATCAATGATTGTATACATACATGCACATATTTATGTATGTGTGTCTATTTGTGTGTCTGTGTGAATGTGTGTAACCCGCCCACCCCCCCAAGCGCCACGAGAGCTCATTACTGTGCGTCTCTTTGTTGTGGCCCGTAGAGCGTGGCGGACCTTCCCAAAAAATATGCACATCACTAAAACAACAAGCCCGACAGAACAAAACGCACACAGACATTAATAATGGAAGATGAAAAAACAACCTTAGACATCAACAAAAACAGGATGGGGGAAGGACAGCAGAGGCACCAGGGGCTCCAGCCGTGAAAGTGTCAGAGCCCTCGGGTTTTAAAACAGGCCAGGAAGGTGAATCCAAATGAGCGAAACACTGAGATGCTCGCATATCTTTCCCATTCTTCATAAAATATGTTCTAACTTCAAGAATCTCTGTCTTCCTACTATTTTAATTGCCCATTTTCACTGTTTTGTATTTTTGTGTCCAGGTGGTATGTGTGGAGTTGGGCGGGTGTGGTCGTAGGCTCCACAGACATGTAGGTCTCAACAGTGTCCAGGATGTGGCGCTCTGCTGGTGGAACCAGGATGAGTCCAGTGAGGAGCTATGGCCCTGGACTCCCACAGATACACACAGGAATAACCTTGTCCTAATCAGCTGCTCACCTGCTGAAGGCCTGAAGGTACACACACACACACACAGAACATAGCACAGGTATACTTATGATAGCTACATTAAACACAGGGAATTTCCAACTGTGCATTTCCTAGTACAACTTGTCAAAATTCTATGATAAAGGTTTAGTCAAACCGCTCAAAACTTTAAACCTCTTGTTTGGATTTTAAGACCTTAATAAAGGTTCCAATGAACACCACATGTAAGCAGTCGAACAAACCCTGTATTCATTAAAACAGAGGAAAAGGTTGTGGAATGAAAACTATGAAAGACAATTACCTACAGGGAAACCAGAGCGGTAATGGTCTTTGCTCATTCCAATGTTTTACTGGTTTGGAGAGGGTTAATGAATTGGTCTTGGATGCTTTTGGGGTTACTGCGGGTATATCAGACTTATGTGTGAATACATTTGCAGAAAATGATTACTCCCATCGTTTTCTTGGGAAGAAAGCTCCTACTCCCTGTGGAGCAATTCAAGCATCTTAAGTGATGACTGAGGTTGACATGGCTGGTGGATTTGAGCAGTGACATCACTCACAATCCACCTCACCTACGGGGCATTTAGCTGGTTTCTTCTGACCTGGAGTCACAGTTTTATTCTGAGTTCCTCCTGACAGAACAAGCTCCTGATGCTATATCTAAAGCTGTGTGTGCTTTTATATGCTGTCTCATCTTTCAGTCACTGCCCACAGCACATGACCCTATGTAAGGGTGGGAACAACCAGAAAATCTACACTTTCACCTTCTCTCTCAGCTCTCTTCACTGCAATAGATTGGTGCAGCAGCCACACTGCTGCAGACAATCCATATTTCAGTCTCCTGCTATAGAGTCTTGCTATAGTTGTCCAACATATTGGGTCTGATACAATCACTGGTCATGAGCGTGACATGTATATCGCACAACTGGTTGGCGAGTGCTTCCTGGAGGTTGCTGGCTGTTGCAAACGGTGCTGAGAAAAACATTGTTTTTATTGCTTTGGTCGCTAACAGATTGCAGCGGCTTCCTGTGCTTTGCTTTGCTTTGGATACCTACATATGTGCAAACATTAGCTGACTTCTTGGAAAGGGCGATGCAAACCAACAAATGTTTGCAATGCCAAGACAATACAAGTGGTTGTAGACAAAGCAGAGTCTTCCATGCAAACCACAGGCAAATGCAGCAATAGCAACCAAAGAAATTGCAAGGAGATTTTTCCTGACTGGCTGAGGAGTACACATTTTTCCCTAATCATCAGTGGTTGCCAGAGGGTCACTGACCAGTTTCTAGGCCTGTGTGATTAGGAGCTTAGTCATTTGACCCTACAATGATTGTCACATGCCCAAAATGGTGGACAAATTAAGATCACATGGTTAGTGGTCATGTGTCTGCAAAACCTCAATACTCTTCCCCCACTTAGGAATAGATGCTTAATGTCCTCCACTTGAAGCAACAACTGCTCCCAAACTGCAGTGAGCACCTACAGCCTTCCCTCGCTTCAGACTTGAGGTGCTAATTGTCATCCCCGCCACTTCACCACCAGCAAACCGATCGGGTTTAAGCTGGAAGTCATCAGTCGACATAGCCAACAGAACCAAATCGGAGATGTGATCCTGAGACCCCCCCCTGCCACCGATTAGCTGCACCTAGAATCTCTCTATAAAAGAATCTGTTCACCTCTACAAACCACATATGTCTTTTACCTTAACTTCTTAGTTAAATTACCTGACTACAAGTAGCTTTGAAATAAGTTGCAAAGACATTCATGTTTTCTTAAAGCCTAAAGTGTGATTGATTATTAAGTCCATCTGTTCATGACTGAGATGAAGATTAATTAATCAGTGCAGAAATCCTCATACTTCCTAAGTGTTCACAGTAGATTTTGTATAATGGTAGCTGATGATTTGGCAAGGATGGATGCTCTCATTATTGAACTAGGAATTTTTAGAGCAAGGCTAAGTTGAATTTTAGTAACATGAACACATAATGAAATATAGTAAATACTTATAAAATACTTTTCAGTCTTTATTTGAAGCTCTCAGTATCAGTAACACAAAGTCATCCCATATATTTTTGTAGTTTCACACACAGGGAAGCTTGCAGACACACTCACCAGACACCAGCGAGGGAAAAAGGGGCAACAAAGCTGCTGAATTTGAGGAGAGACCTGTGTTATTCTGGATGGGATTGGGGATGGTGTGTTAGTCACCTCAAGGGTGGTACCTCTGTGTTGCACCTTCATGCATCACCATATGAAAAAAGCAAGAGCTAAGCTGTGGTACAGCGTGAAGGAGAACGCCCACACATTCACGCACAGGCTGAAACGCACATCCTCGTGCCCTGTGGCAAAAACCCTACCCATGACCCGATTCTGTGTCAGTGTAGGATTGGCCTCGTGCCGAAAGCAGATGAAAGATCCCAAATTACCAAACCGGGCTTAACTCTAACCCCGGTACGTGTACCTCAGTAAGCATATGCAAAATATTCGCCACACCAAAGAGAGAAGGGAGAAGGAGGAAAAATGAGCGTTACCAATCGCACACTAGGAAAACAAATTCACGCAGCAGAGAAAGAGGGAGGAATTGGAGGTGTGTGTGTGTGGGGGGGGGGGTACATGAATATTGAAATAATCAAAGCAGATGCTGTTTGCTGGTTTTTCTTCTTGTTTTTGGAATGCTCGCCACATTTATCACACTCCTTCACCTAGTTTAGTCTGTGTCTCCTTCAACACCCCCCCCCCCCCCCCCCCCCTCATCCTTCTCCTCCTTCCTTCCTCCTCGCTTCAAGAACATTAAAGTCTCTTCATGGGGCTGCGCCATCGCTCTCTAATGAAAGCGTTTGTTGTCATTTTTCAGATGCGCGGTGTGAAATTAAGCGAGCAGTTTATGTAAGAGCCGTAGCGGGAATCAAATGCTGGGCACACATCGGGCGACGCCAGCTACTTCAATCACTTCAAGCTCATATATATGTTCCTTTTGTTCAGTTCGCTATCTGCCGCACTAAGCCAATTTTCTAGCCAGTCTCGGCATTTAAAAAAGTCTGATTTCTTTCCCTATGTGGTCTTAATTCGTATACCCCCCTCACCACCTCCTCCCTCCTCATGCTGATAAGTGGAGCCACGGAACGTGGGGGGGTAAAGAGAGGAAAACATACACAGTTGGTTTTTATGCAGGAGCCAGTTAACATTTTTAATGATCCTTCCTTCATACTTTATACACCCTCCCCCTCCAAACAAACACATAAATCAGCCATTTCCTGGAATTGAATAATCTTAAATGAAGTGAGATGAATGTTTTGTTTGCTTTTGCTTTTTTTCCCCGATTATTTCCAAACACTTTTTTTTTTAACTGTATGTCTATCCTGTTATCTGTCACCAAACAGTCTGTAGTTGTTTGATCTGCATTTGTTTGTTGATTTGTGCTGTCTTTTAATTATTTTTTGACTTAAGAGTAGAGCAAAAAAAAAAAAATTCATAGAAATGAAATAATTTCTAATCTATATTTTATTTATTCTTCACTTCAAGAACACTGTGATGAAGAGTAAGGGTGCTTTTGAAGCAAGATTGCTGGCAAGACTTGCTCCTTAAAAATTAAAAGCTGCAGTCTTAATATGAAGAATTAAAGCACGTTTCAGAAATGCACTGCAAAATAATTTGTACCATGAAAGGGTCTGGTGCTGAATCCAAAGTGTCGATTTACCCCCAAGCTCCGCTGCTTTTTAAACATCACACTGGGAGCACTGCTGGTACAGTTTTGCGTCCAGTGAACGATATTCCCTCCGTTATTTTCAGCCGGGGAAGGTATGAGGAATATTTTGGTTCGTAATCCCGCTGTGCCTGTGCATTTTCTCACATCAGTACTTCAACTCTAACCCCAAATCACATACCTAAAACTTCCCCAGTCCCACCCAGCTATCCCCCCTCCGCCTCCCCAAACACCCCTCATCCCTCGACTCTCCTCCAAGTCCCTCCGTCTCTCTCTATCCGTCTCTCCCTGTCTTTCTCTGCTCCGTGAGCTGGAAAATTGGCTTCAAAAGGCCACTGCTGTGAACAAGGGCCAGCCACACAGTTGGGCCCGTCCGCTTTATCTTTCACGCCATGGAGGGGGAAAAAAGGTGCCGGTGAGAGAGAGAGAGAGGAGAAGAATGGAGAAGAATAGTTTTGACCAGTCACTGAAACCAATAACCAGGAGAAAGCTACTTACTAGAAGTCTTTCTTTCTCTCTCTGTGTCTGTCTCCCTCTCTCCTTGTCTCTGCTCTCTTTGCATCTTTCTCCTCTCTTTATTCTTTTCCATTTCCACTCTTTCTCATCATCTTTTCTACATATTTCTGTCTGCATCCCCTTTTCTCTGTCTCTCGTTTGCACATCTGTTCACTCACTTGCTCACTCTCATTCTTGACCTGATTCATCATTTTTTATTTTATGCTCCCAGATTCAGGGAATGCTGTACATTCACATGCCACAATATACTCTGAAGAGTTCACAGGCAAACAAAGCTTTGCTTTTCTGGACACATTACGACACATCTCTACACCTTTTTTACAGGTCGATTGTTGTTTAAGGGCAGCTTGTTAAAAGAGGTGAAAAAGATTTGGCTTTGTAAATGATGAAGTCCCAGTGATTTGTAAATATTTACTGTGCTATGCTAAGTCTGTTTAAAATCTAAAGAGTAACACATCACCTACATCTTATTGTAGAGATCACACAGCCAACTGCAGGTCAACAGTTTTATCGTTTGTCTTTCTTCCTTTCTGGTCTTTAGAGTAATGTTAGCATTTCAAGATTATATTTTGGCCCTGAAAGGCAGAAACCTCCATAACCCTGCAAGTCTTGAATTTTCTTAAATCTCCTAATCAGTTGTGTTGCCTTCAGGGACATTTTGCTTGACTTTGCTCAGTCCAGATGATGGAATATGAGGCGTACCTTCGACTTAAAGATTACCTGGAGTTACAATGCAACTACACTGGCTGTAGGAGTGTGGGTGCTTCTGGCACTGAATGTCGCTTTTAGCACTATCAAATGCATCCACTAAAATATTTGAGGCACTATTATACTTAAGGCCAGTAAATACAACATATTTAAATACACAGGTCAATGCATAAAAAAGTGAAATGGTGAAATGACGGCACTCCATGAGAATATTCATTGTAACTATATGAAATACAAAAGAGTGACAGATATATAACCAAACACAGTACTGGAGGGATGGAAGACCACTCTTCCAAGAGATGCTACCCCCTTAATGTTTTGATGAATGTACCAATAATGCACTCTCAACAAATCAGTCAAAAATCTCCTTGAGGTGTCCAACTGGTTTGAGGTCGTAGCATATGCATCACATTAAGATTGGGGAAAATGGATGAGACCACTCAAATAGAGAGAGCGTGATTGTGTGATAAACCTAAAGTCAGAGCATCTTTGTGAGCCCACTATTCCCCTAGTGGGCTCACACTGCGGCAGCTAATCACCTCCTACAGTTTAACGGAGCCATCATCTGCTCACTTCAGCAGTCAACTGTTCAGGATTGCCACTTCTTCTTGATCTTTGTGTTTTTGAACTTCTTAAAACAGCAGTCCCCAACCCCCAGGCCACGGACTGGTACCAGTCTGTGAGTCATTTGGTACTGGGCCACGAGAGTTGAGGCTTGGGAGTGAAATTCATGGTTTTCAGGGTTTCTAACGGTTTTTAGTGTTATTTTTTTTTATCGTTTTAATCGCTAACTCGGTTTCCCTGGGTCTTTTCCCGTGTGTTATAAATAAATCTTCTTTTTTTTGGTACAATTACTGGTTTTATTTTGTTGTATTTATCCGCAACACCTTAAAGGGCAGTGCATGGAAAATATTGTCGGACATAAACTGGTCCATGGTGCAAAAAAGGTTGGGGACTGCTGTCTTAAATAACTTAAATATTTTCATTGGTGAGGGGGGGTTATGGGATTATGACCTGCAGCCTCATGGATTGATAGACTCAGGGACTTTTCACAGCCACTGTCTCTATTGAAACACTAGTCAGTTCAGTAGCCTGGATTCTGACTTCCATAATCCACTTTTCTAGTGACTTTAATCTTTTTCTTTTACTTTCTTGATACCAATTCTGAATTAAATGTGCCACAGAGCAGGATTAGATGATGAATATTATGTGCAATGGTGCTAAAGCTGGTTTAATATTTAAACTGTGAATAATGTTGGTCAGAAATATTTATAGAGGGGCTGAGAGTGTAATAAAGCAATTATCATCAGCTGTGTTATGAATATCCCAACTTGGGTTGAACATGCTGTTATTTTCTCACGTCATACATGTTTTTTGTGCACATTGTACATTTTTAAAAATGTAAATAGTGGCTGCTGCAGGTTGAATCCGCCCATGTAGTATTTATTTGTTGGCTCAGAACTTTAGCTGCCTCTGCCCTCTGATCCCTGTTCTTGGAGGGTCATCTGTCAGGTGAAACGGAGCTGAGTCAGCTGCACCTCAGCCCCCCGATGGTGCCATGGTGGCATGCAGGCTCACAGCAGGCAGCGGGCACTAGCAAGCCGGGCATGCGATGAAAAGCTGAAAGGATGCGATGTAGTTGAAGGGTGGGGGGTGTCACGGTTTTTGGCACTGAGGTAGGTCTTATGAGTCCAGCGTTCTGTAGGGTGAATACGATGGACCCTCACCTGCTATGCATTTGTGTGCTAGTTTATTTTCACGCATGTGTCACTTTGCAGAAATTAAGCTATCCAGAGAACTGCACCAGCCCCAGGATACACCACCTTTTACATGAATTGAGCCCCTCTACCCTGCTGCTTCAAATAAACACACACATTCACACGCAGCACCCACCCCCTGGGGTGCAGCAGGAGCTAGCTCTGGGGGATTATAGTGAGGAAAAAAAGCTTTCAGGAGGACAGTCATCTGCTTCTCTCCTGCTGTAGACCATGGGCAGGCAAAAAAAACCTGCCTTCCTCCCTCTAAGTCCCTTTTTGGCAATGCCTGCCAAAAAACTGGGCCGAGCAGCTTTGCAAAAGGAAAGGAAGGCAGGCAGGCAGCCGATCCTTCTTTCTGTCTACACGGCGAAAAGAAATGGGCTCATTTAGCCAAAGCTGCCACGGTCAATGCAGGGCTCTGATAGAGGCTTTGGTAAGGTGAAATCCTTCCTAAAAAGCTCTTTTAGTGACTGTGTAACTGTTGGACTGATGTTTAGTACAGCCTGTGTTCTCCTGTCATCCACGTACTGTTCCAGGTTTCTTGTGGGTGTTTATCGACACTACCACCCGTGACACGGCCTGTCTCCCTCAATGTCAGTGCTTGTTTGCATAGCAGGACCATTGTACCCACGCAAACTGGTTGTAGGCCAGGCAGAAATAATCTACATTTTGCATTTGACCACTGGTCAAAAAAATTCAAGATTTCTTCATGTATCCAGTGAAAAGGGCTCCTTTTCTTGTCATTTGCCATGTCTATTGCTGAGCTCTTGGCTCCTCACACAGGTAAACAGAGGAGGTTGTTTATCATTATGTGCCAAGCCATGGCATGCTTAGGGAGAAGATGTTGTTGACCTTGAGTTAAAATAGAGCTCTTATCATTAGCTGTCTTGATTGACAGCTGGGTGTTTATGAGCAATATGGAAGGCTCCATTTCTTCCATCTCCAGGGGGTTTGGGGCTGCTGCCACGGCATGACTCATTTCTGTCTTTCTCTCACGTGTTCTGTCTTTGTCTCTGCCGTTTTATTAGTTCAATAACAGTTGCAGCACAAAACAGGTTTCAAGTTGAAGAGCATGTTAAAACAGCAACAAAAATTAAAAGATCTTTGATGATGAATACAGACTAATAAAAACATTTTTTAAAATACACTTGATCTACAGTAGATGCAGTCCTCTTCCCCTAAAGTTTACAGTAATGTTTTTGTTCCTCGACACTGAGAGAAGACATCATCCTTCAAATCTTGTTTCAGCATGCTGGCATGCCTGTATCAGGAAGGAGGACTATGTTGATTTCAAACTCCACATTGCTCTTCTTGCCCTTTATTACAGTAGCTGTGCTTGATTCACTGTTTAAAATAATCCTCTCCTCATATTGGGCCTTGGTGGCCCCCTACAGTTCATGTCCGGTCTGAAATGTGCTGATTTAAATCCAGTTGTCTTCTGATTGGCTCCCTCTTGTAAACAGAAAGTTTGAACAGCAAATGAGGCATCTTGGGTCAAGCAAATTATTATTACAAATCATCCTCTGTGAATATGTGTACTTAATTTTCATATATAGATTCCATCTCAGAAAGGAATTTGCCAGACCAAACTGTGAAGCCTCCACCGGGGATGTCTGTAGACAGGCGTACCACGATCCTTCACACATGCTTCAATTTCCTGTGGAAACATTACATGCCAGGATATAGCCGTGCAAAACAAGATTACAAGATCATTTTTCTTCAACTTCGAAATTTCTCTTCATGCCATTATTTCTGAAGCTGTTCCCTTGTCCTCTCTAACTTTTTTCTCCTTCAGGTCCTAAGCTCAGTCCACACTGAAGGCAACCCTCTGGACTGCCGCTTCAGCCTGCTCCAGCCCTACCAGGTCCTAACAGTGGAGTTACCTGCAGGGCCTCAGGGATTCAGAGAGGAGTCCTGGGCTGATACCTGTGTGTATGAATGTGCACGAGGACGCCTGCACCGCCTTTCAGTCACCCGAATCCCGCTGTCATCTCACCCAGTCTCCTGCTCGCGTCACCCCTCTGAGACCACTCTGCTTCTTGGCTTAAGTGATTCCTCCTTAGTCCTGTACGACCAACGACGCGGGATCTCTTTCCTAGCCTCATGCCCCGTGCCGGCCACCCTCCTCGCCTGGCACCCTGCTGGGGCTGTTGTCATGGTAGGGGGAGGACAGGAGGAGCTGATGTGCTTTGATGTGGGCTTGGCACCTGTAAATATGGCGCTCGTATCAGAGGAGGTAGCTTCAGCTCCCACGTTAAGACTAGCTCAGCACCTGCACTGTTCTGGAGGCCTGGCAGGACTGCAATGGGCGACTGGCTTGGATGGAGGCCCAGAGGGGACAGATATGCTCGCACTTTCTTTTCATGGTGGACCACTGGCAGCTTTGAGATTTAGACTAGGTAGGTAAAATAACATTGGACAAAAAATGGTCTTCTGAAATTATGAGGAATGTTTTGTTATTGTCAATCACCACAATCTTGTATAGGAAAAAAACAAGGGCTATATAAAAGATGCATATTGCTAGTGTGCTGAGACTGTTTGATAAATCTACAAACCATGGATATTGGCTAACTCGTGCTAACTTAACACATAAATTAAATAGCAGAATCTCATGCACTAAAATTCTTCTTGGATGTTAGGACAATTAATGGCACAAAAAGACATAAGCTTCAGATAATTGCTATACAAATGCTCCAAAACAAACCAACACCAGAAAAACTGATTAGAGGAGGCATCTTGTAAGGTTCAACCTCCTCGAAGTGGCCATGCTACTGACCGTAAACCTAAGTCTAAAGTTTAAGGCCTCCGTTTTGGAGGCCTAGAAACTGGTTAATGACCCTCGTGGTAATCACTGGTTGCTAGGGAGAAAAGTGGGTTCCCTGATCAGCTGGTGAGTAGTAAGTTGCTGTAGTCACCTATAGATTGCATAGAAGATGCCAACTTGCCTGCAAACAGCTGGCAACAAAGCTATGTTCAGCTGTCATGGAACTGAAGAGTGCAACGCAACCTGGAAATGGAGACTGTTTGCCTTCAAAGTAGAAGTTGCACTTTTTATATGGTTGCAGGGGTAAAGCACAACTTTCATTTTGAAAGCAAACATAGTGTGAGTTTGAGTATTTGCAGACAAGCCCGGAGACTTCCATTCAAGGTACGGTTGACCATAGCAAAAGCAATCACAGGGAGATTCCTGGTACAACACCCTGTTTCTCCTTGCAGTTAATTTCACCCAATGCTCTCCAGTAACCAGTTGAGGAATGCACATTTTGCCCTGGCCAAGGTTGCCAATGTGCTGCAAACTGTTCTTATAGTCTTGCAACTGCGGCCTCAACAAGTGTGCTGTAAGGACTCCAAAACCTTTTCTGAACTTTGTACAGTTCAATATTTTAACTTCTAATTCATGGAGATTAACTTTTTTTTTTTTTTTTTTTTTGCAAGTTAGCCTCAAGTGGTCACTCAGGCAATTGCAGTTTTTGACATTTGACCTGCTTTTCAGCCCTGGAGGTTGCCACTTGGAATAAACATAAAACAGATGGATAATGAGATCCATTTTTCCTGTTTTACCTGTTTTCCTGTTTTGAGTTCTTTGTATTTCTTACTCCTTCTGCCAAGAATAAGTTCCCTCACATTTGTTGAAATTTTACATTACACAGTTCCAAGTAGAAAACACTTCACTCCCTTTCCTAATGAAGGTGCCTTCCTCCCTTCAGACACTCTTGCTCTGTTTTGGATCTGAAGCTGTGTCTGAACCCGCCTGTGTGAATAGTGCTGTCAAGCTGGTCGTCCCAGTACCTTTCCACTCCTGAAGGAAGTTAATTTGTTGACAGGCGGGAAGGTTAGCGGGAGTCACGCTCTCAGAGGTCATTCAATAATCGCCCCGGGGCACGAGCCCCCGAGGAGCATTCTGGGATGCATTTTTCCGATAAATCGTTTACAGTGGCTGCAAAGTCCCTCGGGGTCCCCAGATAAAGTTTGCCAATCAAAATTTTTACGAAGCAGCCACCTCACCCTCCGAAGCACACTCACGTATTCAGCATCTTTAATTGTGACTTTGGAAAGAAGATGTGACAGTGGCACGCAACTCTCTACCGAAGTTTGAAAGCAGGAGAGTGAGGGTGGAGGGAGGAAGGTAGTAGAAGTGTGCATTTGAAATGTGTGTTTGAGGGGTGTGTGTGTGTTTGACTGTGTTTGCCTGTGTGCACAGGGAAAGAGGAGGGTGTCTTCCAACAATAGCTTCCGCTCCTCTGATCGTCTGCCAAGTATTTGATGAAGAAAGTCACTGCACGTCTTTTCTCCATGATAATTCTCCCCCCCCTTCACACATGTGTGTATTCTTCTATTTCTGTGCTTCTGTTCGTACACACACACACACACACACACACACACACACACACACACACACACACACACACACACACACACACACACAGACTTTCACTCCAACTCATTTGTTTGCTTCTTCTCTGTATTGACTTGTTTCATAAGGCCCGCTACATGACAGAAGGAGTGAGTCGTGAGGCGGTTAGGAAGAAAGACTTGGCCAAGCTCCAAGTTCTCTCTTTTCCATAGGAGGCAGCTCTCCCTGGTGCCCCCTCCCACCCCCACCCCCCTGCCTGCACCGAGTTATCTCATCTGGGCACACGTTGGCCATGGCTGGGCCTGCACTGGTACAGGCTGTGGAGGGGCAGACTGGGGAATGTGCTGCACAGCACCCAAGAAAAAAATAGCAATTTCTTTTTTTTTGTACAGATGGGAAAACAGGGAAATATTAAAGGACAATGATGTAACTGTGTGTGGAGAATGAACCCAAGCTAATGCTTCTTTCATTGGCAATAAAAAAATTCACTAGGTCATCAAGGTGACTTGGAGGTGAGTTTGTTGATCTGCTGCGCGAGCAGGGTTCATACTCATCTAGCCTGGCATATATTGTTTGTCAAAATTAGTGAGCAGAGTTATCCATCATTTCTAAGATGGGTTTATGGTCTGTCAAAATTACATGTTTGATCGCAACATCAGAAATCCCCACTCGTTTCCAGTGATTTACCCACTGCACACCGTTATTAGCCACCTGTGCAGAGGTGTGAGAGGAACCAGATACATTACTTCACATGCTAGATTTTTTCCTTTTGTTTTTGTATTTGTTGCTCAAGGATTTGTGGTACGTTTCATGTGTGTGACCAAAAGCTACTTCATCATTGTCTTCCCAGAGAGAATGGGCTCTTTGACTTGTTTTTGGAGACAAAAAGTTTATCTTAAAACTGATTAAAACTTGAAGCATAGCCTATCATAGACGTTTTATATGGGTCCCATTGTCCTCAGTTCTGCATGTGTTTCCACAGTGTGGTGGTTATTATATTCAACTGACACCAAACCAGAGATGAAACACAAGCCCACTCATAAGCCAGTGCACTCCTACTGCCAGTACCCAGCATTGATTAATGAGGATGGAGCCATCTGTGGCCAGAAGTACTAACTTGAGTAGGTACTCCAGTAGCTTTACTTAATACTCACTTCTAAAAATAATATCCACATTTGCCTAATACTGTGCCTGGGTGAAACCCCTAGATTGGTACTAAGGAGCCAAAGTCTGCCAAGGAAATATCCCCCCACACCTTTACACCACCAACAACATCAAACTGACGTTTGACTCAAGCCAGTGTGACCCTACCATCTAAATATTGCAATAGAAATCTAGACTCAACAGACCAGGCAACTTTTTTTCAAATCTTCCTAATGCCTAAATTAATTGACTTGCTGCCATATGATTGGATGATTTAGATTATTGTGCTAATGTGAAGTTCAGTAGCTAATGAGTTTATGTGACATAATAGTTCCAAGTTAACACGTTTTGGTTTTTTATGTTTTAGACCAAGGTCTTTCATATTTTTAGTCATGTTTATGCTACGTTCTGTGTTTCTCCATGCTGGTGCTGATCTTGTCCTGCTCAGTGTTGTTTGTGCACAGTCAAATAAGTCAGTGTGGACAGGTGTGATCCATTGTCTGCGTCAGCTTAGAGCAGATGTCAGCGCCCAACTCCTGGACTCATACATGCAGTTAAACACATACAGTACCCAAAAATCACACACAAGCAACTTAGCTGATGTATTAGCCACATTAGCCCACTCTTTAGGGGATTTGGTGGTTTGCTAATTGCCAGCTTGTCATTTTAATTGCTCATACCACCCCCCGCCCTACAGATACTAATTAGACTAGAATCAGTAGTGAGTTTTTCTTGCCTGCCTGCAGCATGGCCCATTGACAGTACTGCTGTCAGTGATCACCTATTATGCCACTAGCCATGTCCAGAAATTTTGGTAAATATATACACTTTAATACATATACAGCAGAGTGTTAAATGTTGCATGCATGTGAAAAAGGCTAGTTCAGAAGTGAGGTGAAACTACTGTCAGAACATGGTCCTGTACCAACTCGTCTCACGCAAATCAGAATGAGCCAGGGAGTCCTCCATCTGCTGCATTATGTACCTTCGTGATTAAGTGACAATAGAGCATAATTACCCCTGGCATTCAACACCTTCACCTGTATATGTGCTTTGAACTTTAAGAAACAGAGTGAGACACCTCTGCTGCGGTTAAGGGTACAAAATGCCATTCTTCCATTATTCAACATGTTCCTTGTCTGCACAAACAAAAGCACAGTCAGTCATCACTGATCAGAAGGTACAGTCCATCAGAGCAGTCCTCAAATGATCTTAGGGTAAAGGTCACTCTATGTTACAATATCGTTTGCAGTAGCACACAGACACACCCCATAAGAGGCTGGTTACACCCTGAAAAGGTTTCCATTCTGTTAAAGAGCTAAATATTTCAATAACATGTAGGCAAGTTATTTGAACATATGCTAACATGCACTCTGCTCAGTGTTAAAGGATGAGAAGCTTGCTTTTATTTTGCATTTGCACACAGAAACTGATGGACACAAAGTACACATGAAGGCTTGAACACACTTCCTCTCTAATTGATTGACGAGTCGATGCTGGTCTAACAAATCTAGTGCTGCCTCAGAGTCAGAACTGATCCACTGGACACTCACTTAACTTAAGTAACTCCTCCAGGTTATTCTGCATGGTCACAGAATCATTATCACACCAACTGTTAAAGCCTAAAGAGAATTTTCCCTCTTTGTAGCACAGAAAGATGAAAATATACTGTATCATTCAATACTGTGGTGGACTGGTATTCATGAGCTGGGATAGGCCTCCAGCACCCGCGCTACCCTAAATTGGATAAACTGTTAAGGGTATAGATGGAAAGGAAAAGATCAATAATCACATACTGCTCTATCATCAAAATCTTAGAAAAAATATAAATATAGAAACGAAACAAAAAGGTATAAAAATGAAGCAAAAGATAGAAATACTGAATAAATTATTCCTATTTCTGTTGGTTTCTTAATGCAGATCCTTAAAAGTTGTTCTGAATGAATGCAATAAAACACATCTATCTTCTATTTCCCAGGATCCATTAGGGCATAAAGGAGTTGCTGAAAATGATGTGAATCATTTAGTGTGGTCTTCACAATGACCTACAGGACATTTTGTACCATTTTGTTAGACACCATCACCATAACGCCAAATGAGGAAAATCTTTTGAAAAAAACATCTTCCTTTCCAATTGATTCTCCGAGAGACTTGGAGAATCAATTGTGTGCTATGTAGCAGCACCTGATTAAACCTCAGTTTCCCAGATATGCATAAATCTTTGCCCTAGTGTTTAAATCTTTTTTCAGTGGTAGTTTTGTCTGAATTTTTGTTTTAGTATGGGACTAGGCTCAAACCATGTATGTGAAACCTATTGTGTCTGCTGGGTTTTCCCTTAATTCAATGCCCATCTAGATCAAAACTGGATTATTTCATAAAAATCTTTTCTTCGTCTTTTCTTAACCACATTATTATTATTTCTTACAAACCTTTCCTCAATATGACAGGAGCTCTCACGGGGGGACAGATGGGTCCAGGGGAGCTGCTGCAGCAGAGGCTACGTTGTGGTCAAGTCAGAGAGGCACTGGGCATACTAGAGGCCATGGACTGGAGCACCATGGGGGATGAGATGTACCGAGGCCTGAGCTCAGTCACTAACCACCTGCTGAGGATGGAGCTGAACCCAGAGAGAGAAGGTGGCTTTGATTGGTTTTACATTTCCTGGTGATGCTTATCAAATCGAAATCGCTGCTTTTCAAATTTCATGAGTCTAACCTAACCTGTCGACTTTCAGTGCTTGAAGATTTTTATTTTTTATTTACCTTTCATTTCGTCTACATTTTGCTGTATTTAGCACCTCCATGGACTAAACCTTATGAATGCTTAGATATATTTGATATATTTGATATATTTTGGATGTTTTTCTTTCAAATCTTAGTTTCCTTTCATTTAGTTGTTAACTTTTGCTTTTAGTTGGCTTTTAGTCAGTGAGCCTTTGATTTGGCACTGTCTCTTATAAAATAAAAAAGTATAAAAATCTCATTTTTGTGCAGAAGAGCAACAAATTTTACATTGTTAGCTTTAGAAACACACACATCCTTAAACATTCTTAGCTAATTTCCATGCAAACATCACATGCATTTCCTAATTTTGTGTGTGTTTCTGATCTGTCTGTAGCCCAGCTAGAAGCAGCTCTGGGTGTGTTTTATGCCCCACCTGTGCCTCTCTCTGATACAGTAATACTGGAGTACAGGGAGCCAATCAGCAAGTACGCCCGGCGCTTTTTTCACCACCTCCTCAGGTAACACCACTCACTCTGTGCTGTTGCTGTGGTCTTAATTAAATGGACTGAGGGAGAAATTTACTTTGTGCATGTCCTCAAGGGGTCAAGGACTGTGTTTTGTATAGCTCTCCTGAAATAAAAAAAAAATGTAGACATCTAAAAAGTAAAAGCATTAAGAGTACATTCCTCAATCAGGTTCCAGATCTCTGAAGACTTTGCACAGACAAATACATGCACAGACTATTTTCAAGGGATTACTGGAACATTTAGTGCAGTTTATCAGCACAGGGTGGAGAATCAGAATAAGAAATAATATCCAAAAACCTCTTTCAGAAACAATTTAACACTGCTTATTTCCTTCTCTTTATTGCTATTAAAAATTCTAAAACAGAAATAGCTTTTGAATTTCATTGCACACACATACTGATGCAGCTTTGAGTCATTCATAAGGCAAAGCAGCACGCATGCACCTGTTTAGACTGTTGTTTCATTTTCCCTTCTGCCATGAGAGCCTTTTGAAACGCCTGTTTGACTGAAATAGACCCTGTTGTTCCCACACACTGCTGCTCACTGCTCTCCATCCCGCAATTACCCCCCGCTCCCTCTCCCTCTCTTTCTTTCTCCTCCTCTGTAGCCGAGCTGGAGCGTTGTTTGGCATCCCTCGTCCTCTCCTCTCTTATCACCTACCTGCATTCTTTTTCTCTCCATCAACATCAAATGAAGGAAGGCGCCCCCCCGCCCCCCCTCCTTCCCGCACCTCCTCTCTCCGCTTGTGTTTGTTTGTTTCATGTCGGCTGTAGCCGGGGAAAGTTGAGGTGTTTTGTACTGGGAGATACAGCTCTCTCTCCCAGCTTTAATTCTGGATAATAGGAAAAGAGCTCGCTATTCTCAGTTCAATTATTGACAGTGTTGAATGCAGAGGTGCATGTGCATGTCTGTATTGAGGCGTGTGTCTACATGCAGACCAAAGCAAGCACGTAAATGTACCTTAGACTTATTTAACTATGCATTTTCATTCAAAGCATGTATTTTTAGATTGATGATTGTTTTGCTTTCATGTTCAGGGTGTTGTCTTTCTTTTTCACTGTCTCCTTTTTTCTCTGCAGGCACCAGTGTTTCGAGAAGGCCTTCCTCCTCGCTGTAGATTTAGAAGCCAGAGATTTATTCATGGTGAGTAGAAAGAAAATTTCCTTTTATGTGCTTTCTTGAGGGGGAAAAGAGTCACAAAAAGGGTTGTTGACATCAAAACAGAATCCACGAGGAAGCCTTTTTTTTCTTAAATAAAATATGTAATTCCATGGACATTAATTATCAACTAATTTAACAAATGAACTAATGAAAATAGCCAATGATTCAAGGTTTAAAATCATCCATATTTATGGGATTTGGTGCTGCTGATCAGTTATATAGCTCTTTTGAGACCATCTTCCTGTCAAGCCAACTTACTTTAAAGTGAATGCTGCTCACAAACAGACTATTTACCCAACAAGTGGGTTGCTTACAGTTAAAGCTGTGCATCTGAGACGACCATATAAGGATATCCCTCCTGTCTGACATCATGCAGAACCAAAAGTAGAAAGAACTGTGTGAAATTGAGTGTTTAGCAGAATCTGAACCACAAGCTTCTGGCTAACAGGGATTAACAAACTACGGTACACATATAATATCTCTGAAATTTAGAAACCTTTGAGCTAGAGTATAAATTTCAAATTTATATGCCATTGGCTTTTAAATTAAATGATATTTAAAATATGCCAGTGAAAATAGAATGGCATAGCATGTACCACACATGTTTAAAAGATCCCTTTCTTGCAATTTTAGTCCAAATTACCACTGCATGGACTGAATCTGTCATGACGTGTAACATGCTTACCGCCATTTTTCTTCATTCATCAATACCTGTATTTGTTTCGAAATAGCTGCTTTATGACATTAAGTATGACACATGTCTGTAGACTATTGTTATACTTTATACTAAGTCTTGTCTTTCTTGGGCACCTTTTATAATGTATTCATTTTCAGCAGTCAGGTTTGAATGATGAAAACTCTGAATCTTTTCTTTTTTGTCTGTTGAAGAAAGTGTTAAAGTGCAAGGAACCCAACTCATAAAAATAGATGAACGGATACCAGTGAATATTTGGAAATTCTTTCTCATAATCACTTATAATATTACAGTAAAAAAGTTGTGAGCTCTGATAACTGTTTGTTTAAGCTTACCTTTATGCCTTTTTTCTCTTAAAAAAAATCTGGAATCTGTGTACATGAACCTTTTCATCAGGTCTTCTTAACATGTTTACTCTAGATTATGTTAGTGAAATAAAACATGTTTGGTGTATCTGCTCTAGATGGACTCCTGAGGGTTAGATGTTGACTCATGCGCTATAGGGAGCTTCTCTGCAGCTCTTCCACTGGTATAAAACCTATTATAATTGCTCATTCACTGTTGCACCCTTGTTACTTTCATTTGCACATGACTTGTAACCCATACAAGTGTGTGTGTGTTGCGTGTCAGAGAGCAGGTGTGATCTCAGTATGGGCCTCTATCTTTTCACAACCTCCACGGCCTCAGCTCAGCCTTTTCCTCTCCTCTCATCTTCGCTCTAACTCGTTCTTTCTTCCACTCCACGCTGAAATGCTCCTATGTGTTTGACCCCCTTTTTCATGGGGCCCCTTTTGCTCCATGCTTCACCAACACCCCAGACATTAATACAGACCCTCTTACACACATACACACCCTCCTCTTGGTCCCTCAATCACACTGATAGCACTGGTTCCAATTCCCTCCCCACTAAGTAGTGCTGCTGGGAAGCCGAATTGAAAAGGTGGAGTCGAGCCTGTGAACCTTGAAAGAGTGCAAAGGAAAGAGGGGGGCAGAGAGGGGAGGGGAGGAGGCTGTGGTGTAGATGGAAAACTAAATGATAAATGTAACACAAAAATGATGGAAGGGGGAGATGAAACTGTGTCCAGATGAGTGAGAGGGGAGAGAAAGCTGTAATCATAATACATTTCAGTGAAGGGTATGAACTAGCTTCGATGGGTGGAGTCAGTTACAGGACAAATCAGCCCGAGCGGAAGGCGGCCTGTACTGTCAGCAAAGTAGAGGTCAAGAAAATCAGTCCAGAAAGCCTCTGCCATATTTTCCATATAGCTTCATGTACTTTCACAATCTTCTTCTGTCATCTTTTTTTTTTTAAATGATTCGATGCAGACATGATAACTTGTATCTTTAGTCAGAAGCACTAATGTGATTGCAAAACATGATTGTAAAACATACCTCTGTCATTGCTCTAAATTCTTCTTTGTCTGCCATATTTTCTTAAAAACATCAAGATTATAGCTCCCATTTTTAGCGACTATAATTTGTCATGTATTTGAAAAGATATGGGACACAATAAACAATGTGGCTCTGACAGTGATAGAGAAGCCTTCCTAAATAAGCTTCATCTCAGGTAAAAGTCCACACACCTTTTTTGAGTAATGTTGCCCCTAAACAGACAAGAAGATCTAGTTAAATCACGAAATTGTGATTAGTGTATTACTAACTGGTAAAATGAGGCTTTTTCTTTTTTCTTTTAAAAAAAAAAAGCGATTTCCCTCACAGAGAGGATTTGGATCACAGCAGCAAACAGAACGTGACCTTGAAGCCAGATTGTGTGAAGCTGGTGTGATTTTTATCCGGCACCGTTGTGTCCACTGGCTCTCGGGACTGGGCGAGATTTCATGGGTATGGTTGTGGAGCCAGGTCACTCACTTCTTGTTTGAGAAAAGTAAATGTAAAAAATCTACGCATGGAGATAAATGCATCTCTAACATATATATGTAAATATAAAAGTGATGTATGTGAGAGAGCTGTTTCTATGGACAGGTGACATCTTTCTGAGCTCTTGAACATCATTTGACTGCCCTATTTTACTCTCCTTTTTTCTTTTTCTTTTACAAACAAATTTCAGAGACCGAATTACTAAGCATCTGCGGATCCCTTTGTGGTGGCCCATTATGGGAATTCTCACCAAATTTAACAGATAATTGCAAGTCCTTGTCATGCTGGATCTGTAACAAAGTTCAGGCTCAGTCACAACAACCTTTTTCAAGCACTTTTTTGCCTCAGCGACCAAGAGAGCAGCACCTCATTGTGCACAAAGAGCGAAAGAGAGAAGAGAGAGAGAAGAAGGACGTTGACATTTCACCCCTCGCTCTGTCCTTCTGTCTAATTAGGTTGTGTTGTTGCTTTAACCCACTGGTTTGCTGATCGAGTCGAGGTGGAGGAGGTTAATGAGGGCAACCCCCACCTTCGCCAAACTCTTTTTAACTACCAAACTCGCCCATAGAACTCAATAACGCACCGTCGACTTGGTAAAGAGCACACACATGCACACAGATAACATGCTCACCTCTTCTAGAAATGCTCAGCATGATACACCCCCTCTATCATCAGACCCCCGTCCCCTCTTGCCCCATTGTTTCCCAGCTAACAATAGAGGCCCTCCAAGCCTTTTTTCCCCCAAAAGAAGAAACCTTTTGTTAAAATGAAACACTTGTGTCGGGTTAAATTGAGGGGGAGGAGGAATTGGTGGTGGTGGTGGAGGTTGGTGGGGTGTATGAAGAGTTGGTAGTGGGGGTTACTGAGTCGTTTGCATTTTTTAAAAATAATTGATGCTGTTTAGTAGCTCCCTAATTAGCCTTTGATAATGAGTCGATAATGTAACCAATTAGGTCATTCGTCAGCCAAGTCAAGTTTTCTTTCCCTCCACCACCTCCCCTTTTTCTTCTTCTTCTCTTCCTGGGTTTTTTTTTGGCTCTTGATGTAGCTTGTTAATTAAATCAAATTGTGTGATAGCCGAAATCTGATGCCGGCTCTTTTGTTCCCCAGTGAGGGCTTGTACTTTTTCTTGTTAGATACACAAGCAGTAAGGCGAGCTGCATGTTTTCGGTTCACCCTCTATCTTCCTCTCCTATCTGATGCCAGGCTTGGCAGTGCTGTAGGTGGAGGAGGAATAGCACATCTTTGGCAGTAAGCTCATTGTTGTTGCTTAGATAAGCAATTAGCACAATTAAAGTCCTTAAGGCCTATCAGATAGAAGTCAAACACAAGACTCCTGGATAGCAGATGTGTCAGAAAACAAATGTGAAACGGATACGCTCATGTACAGAGGATTAAACTTTATGTCAGGTTGTTAATATGTTTTTGTGTGCATGTGTTTGCACCACCCAGCAAAAACTAATTTGGTTAAAAAGTAAAAGGTGAAAAGGCATCTTTTCACATCATTGATAAGATTTCCAAAAAACAATTTACATGTAGATCTGTTTGAAAACTGAAAGGAAATCTCTTCCTCTTCAGCACCTTGGCAAATGTGCTGTTTGGTAATATTGAGTTTGGTGTGCTGAAGGTGTAAGTTTTGACTGTGCATAGGCTCACACAATAAACTATCACCTCATAGCAAAAAGGTTCCTGGTTTGATTCCAGGCAGTGTATAGCGTTTGTGCATTTTTTCCTCCAGAGACATGTATGTTTGGATGAGTGGTGATTCTAAGCCGGTTGTGGATGAGCAGTGGAGAATACAGCACTGTATGAATGTGTGATTAGTAGCATAAACTGCTTTGAGAGGTAAGTGAGACTAGAAAAGTGCCAATGCTTTTCCAGTCTGGTCACATTAGTGAATGGATGGATGTTGTGTGGCTATCTGATCACAACCATTCGACAACCAATTAATATGTTGTAATAAAAAACAAACAAAGTCTCTGCAGATTGGCAAGTAGAACTGTTACTGAGATTACTGATGAAGTGTAGGAAAAATGCTTGGAAAACCATCATAGTAACTCGATAGTATATCTATATCAACAGAGCAAGGAAGCCTATCCTATCGGTTTATTCTGTGTGCAGACTTTTTGGGGTCACCTATTTGAATTTTTCACCAAACTCTATTTTTCCTTTCCGCTTTTGCAGCAGTGTTCAGGCTTGATGATTTAAGCAGTGGGAATGATCATTGTGAGGCTCAGGCCATTTCATTATTACCACTGTTAGCAAGAAAAATTCTGCTGCAGTCCTGGAAGTCTGAGACACATCCAACCTTCGATAGGTGGCTGAAGGAATTAGGAAGTGCGTGACACCTAGAGAAAAGTAGATATAGTATGTTTTTCAGGTCTCTTTCAGAAAATGTGGTTACTAATCACCAGTCTGATAGGAAAGTTGTAATTAAACTTTACTGATCTTCAGGATTAGCAGTCACACTGCACTATGAATACTTATGTATCATAGTTTGTATGTGAGCCTCTGTCATTGTTCTCTCTGTTTCATTTTTGCATATTTAACATCTTTAAATATGTCGCGACTGGACGATCTTTGGTAGAATTGGGTGGGTGGAATTTTGTCCAGGCTTCTTCTTACTATTTAACTGAATATTCGTTGGCAGCCGTTAAATGATAACTGTGTCCTTAAACATTTCAGCAGCCACGTGAGCTCAAAATGTAGTTCATTATTTAGTTAGAACTTGTAGGACTCACAGCTATTTGTGTGTGTTTATCACCAGGGATAGCCGACTAGGTCCAGGTAGATATTTTCCAGTGTGTCTGCTTCAGAGGTAATCATCAGGATTTAATGCCACCCCCATGAATCAAAGAGCAAAAGCTGTGCCCGTACTCATTCACTAATCCCTGCATGTTGAGATTTCAGACGTGTATAAGTGACCATCATCATTTTGACTCCGGGCTCACAGGTGCATCACTGGAATTCACAGAGCTATCAAATGCCAGGCATTACAAGAAATAAACCACATGATCAAACTGACCTTTACGTGTAACGCTGCAATTTGAATGTATGAGTGGAATATGTGTGTACTGTAAATATACCAATAACCCATTGCTTTTTAAGTGATGTGTTGTCCATGTCCACCCACTTGATTTGCTTTTATTAAAAGTTGAAAAAGGTGGGCAACAAATAAGAATACATTCATATTTGGTTGTTAGTTTGATGTCACAAATAGGCATTGATTTATAAGAATAAACTGTAAAGTTTGAGGCAATAAGGAAAGGCACTAAAAATGCACTGAAAATTACAGAAGAATTAAAAATCTACAAATATCTGATTATTATTATCTGAATTATTTTGCAGTCTCTGCAAACGGCCACACATCCATAGGGCACTGAGTTTATATGCTGTTATCGCTCCATAATAAGCTTTTGTGCACACATGCTCGCCTAAAAAAGTGCAGTGCACTTTGTGTATGCTCATTCTCATCGATCCTGAGTCCAAAGCCAACACGTCACACTGCAAACATACAGACACGAGCCCGTCAGTTAATGTGCTGTAAGCGCTGCTGTGTGCCAGTTAACCTAATCCCTCATTTATTTGGAGGTAACCCAAATATCAGGCAATATCGGGCTCTTAGCATCCACCACCTCCCTCCCCTCTACTCCCCAAATATGGCCCACTAAAACGCGCCTCTTTATCGGTGCGGTTAGCTGGCTCGCTGCAACCCCTAAAGCTCTTATATAAATAAGATTAGTGTCGCGTTTGAGCGTTGGGGAATAAGAGGTGTAATATCTGATGGTTTTATATGCAGTATTATTGTTATCCCTTCTTAGTCGGGTTGATACTCCTCTCTCCCTTTCTCTCTCTTTCCAGCTCTCAGTTGTCTCTCTATCGTTTCGCATTTGTTCACTCGTCTTTCACTGGGTCTCTTTCCTCAGATTCAGACAGCATTATGAGGGGCTAAGCTGGAATAAAGCGCCCCAACATCAAATGTTCATATTGTTCTGTTCTGTCTGTCATCCCGCTCTCTCTTTCTCTCTCCTTGTTGTTGTGAGTTTTGCTTCCCTTTCGTCTTTTTGCGTCTTGTTCACCCTCTCCCTTCCCTTGTGCTCTGTCACTCACGCGCCTCTCCATCATTTCACTGTACTGCCTCCTCTCCCTCCTCGTCTGTTTAATCTTGTGCTGCTCTGTTTGTTATCAATTAAGAAGCCTCACTCATATCTAATTGAGGGGCCATGTCTCCTCGTTCACAGGGGCTCAATTGGCCACCTCAGTCCTGGGAGCCGATTTAGGCTCTTTTGAGGCCATTTTGTTGTCGGCCATTTTCACATTTCCTCCTAACTCTTCGCCACAGAGGGCAGGCACCGCACTATAATTACCCAATCTGTTCCCATTCATACTCCTCAATTTCAGCACCTCTCTCCCACTCTCTCTCCCCTTTACTCTCGCTCTCTGTCTGCTTCAATCCCTCTCTGCTCCACACCTCTTTTGGAAACCAGCACCCCCCTCTCTCTTTCCTCTGGGGGTACAAAAGCTGGGTTACAATATGGGGGTATTAGGGCCGGGTGCAGACTCAGCTGGGGGCTGGCTTTAGCCAGCTGAGGGTTATCCATGGTGAGCCCTGAGTCACGGCAGTGATGTCCTGTGATGTCGCTGAGGCGGAAGACTTTCCTTAACACGCTGTACCCTTTGATGGAGCTTCAGGCCCTGCACTCAGCCCGGGGAAACCCTGCGACTCTCACTCAACCCTCATGGGGTGCCAGGATGAGGGTTTGATTCACTCCCACTTCAATCAATTCAAGAGGTCGAATGTTACAGAGGTTCTGCCATTATTACTGCACAGACTTTAACATTTTCTCACATTTGTATAGTTTGTATATTTGGCCTTTTCAGCAGCGTTGCTAACACATTCACAGGATGCAACAACTGCAGCAACATGGTGATGATGATGATGCTTCCAGTGTCTTTACATGAAAACAACAAAGCCAACCTTTAACATTCTTCCTTTTATTCTGAAATTCATTGAATGAACTAAGCTGCTTCACTCTCAAAATACATGCAAATTATCTATAGACTGATCATTATAGTATGTTGTATTTGCCTTTGATATCCAAAAAGTCTGATTAATTGGGTGTCCCTGAAAGCTTAACACACATGCAAATTAAGAAAATGCCTGAAAACAATTTGACAAAACAAAGTGAATAAACACAACCAAATACAGAGCTCCCAGGGTCTTTCTACACTATAAACCTTTTTTTTTTAGTATTCATATTTATCATTTCTAGATAAAACCTCTTGCGAAATATGCCTCGGTTTTCAAGGTGGTCCAAGCAAGCATTCATACAGTGAATGGAAAACCTAATAACATAAAACAACCAACAAACCGAAAGAACAAAGAGTCCAGAAAAAACAAAGTTTCATTTAATTGTTTAAACAAGTGACATGATAACAAGCAGTGGGTATTTAAAGGTAATTAATGTATTAACTTCCTTAGATACCAAGAGGACAATTACAAGTATCTGATGTGACATATAGTTAAAAAAAAAAAAAGCAGTACAAAAAAACTTCTCTTTGTTTTATGTTGGTCAAATTCAGACAGTTCATAAAGGGAAAATAAAGTTGAGACCTCAACTAATGTTTGGAATTTCTACTTTCAACTTCAGTGCATAACAAAACTGTAAGCTTGAAGATGAAAAGCTCGGGCTCTTTGAATAGGAGGATTTAGAAACACGTCTCATTTTGTTCATTATCAATCCAGAGTGTGAGTTAGAGGAAAAACTACAGTTTTACTGCCATCTGATCAAAATTGCAAATGAGAACGTCTCAGCTGCAGCTCTTCCAAATCTGATGCAACAGAAACGTCTCTCTGAACGTACCAGGCTGGACAGCCTTCAGTAAATCTGCAGCAATTGTGTTTTGTAACCTGGACACAGAACGTGTGGCTCTAGGGGGAAAGGCCCTTTGCAAAACGCTAGAAGCACCTCCTTTATTTTATTTGTTTCTGGCATTTTCGAAGCACATCACTTAAAGCATTATATAGATATTTTTGTATTTTTCCACAATTTAATAAATAATGAATTGACCTCTGCCTCGCTTGTGGAAGCAGATGTAATACTCCTACAACTGAGATGTAATACTCAGTGTGGTTGTTAATGAATATGTGGCAGCGCTGGGCTTTAAATCAGCCACCCTCAGACATCATTTAGCCACATTATCTCCATCTTTGTGGCCATGTGAGACTCAAACAGAGAGATACAGAGGATACATGCTGTTTCCAATATTGTCGCAGGCTGATATCGTAATGTGCTCAGCTGGATATGTTTCTCCGTAAAGAGAGAATACCAGCGTTTCTGAAAGGTGAACAGTCCCTCGTCTCCTCTCACACTTTTGAAATGTGACTGATAACATCCTCCGTAGTTCAAAACCAGGGAAGCGGGCGTGATTGTGTGTGCACGTGTGTGTGCAGGAGGTTGGTGATGGTGTGGGGTGCAAGAAGGCTGATTTCAAAGTTTTTTGAGGAACCGGCATTTCATCCAAACCGGTGCTCCTTCTGATGTTGGGCTTCAAACGGTTCATTTTTTCCCCCTGTCATTTCATCTGTTTCTTCCTTCTCCCGCCAAAATGCCGCATCTCCCCCACCCAAAACCCCTCAAATAAAAAAAACCCTATTGTCATCTGAGCCTAGATTCATTTTAGATTAACGTTCACGTTTCTTTCTTTCTTGCATTACCTTCAAAGGACCTCCATTATGTTGCCAGTGATAAGGGCGAGCTGGTGCTAGCAGATGTGGCCAAGAGGAAAGCTAATGAAATCGAGGCCCGGACCAATGCAGGCAACGGTAAGAAAAGTAATCATCATGTCTAACCAAAAGACACTAAATGTGACTCGTTATTTCTCCTCACATCTGAAATGGGAGGTGGATACCTGATAACCTCGGTAACTCACCCACTGTGACACACTTTTCTCACATCTGAGAGCAGATTTTTTTCTCGGGCTCTAGCCTTCCTTTAACAGCACAGAGGAGAATCATGATTGCCAGAGTAATAGCTGTGTCAAAACTCTGAAAACATGTGCTTATTTGGTATATAAGAATGAGCAAAAGTGAGATTCTGCAGGAAATATTTGTCACAAATGATATAAAGTGATGACTACACAGTGGACAATTAGAATTTAGCCCCACACCGTAGATATTTCAAGATTACGTTTTATACATTTAAGACAAAGTCTTTAATGTCAGGCTAATGAAATGTAGTCTGACACCAGCAAGAGGAGGAAAGACCCAGCTTTTCTGTCAATTTTCAGCCTCTGCTGCTGCCCTTTGACAAACACTCCCGAAAGCACATACCAGAGGGGATCAAGCTACGTTCCTGATTACACACACACACACTCAAAAACACACCACACACACACAACTCCTCACAGAAGCTTTGAGGGCCAACGGGTGAGCAGACTACATTCAAATTTGTGAGGGAACTAGATGAACATGTCGGAAGAGTCCTTCATTGGTGCTTAAAACACACTGGAAGGCTGTGCGTGCGTGTGTATGTGTACTCAGACATCCAAATGAAGCAAGAGAGGTATTTAACTCGACTGTATAAGGTCAAACCCCTACGGCTGAGTGTCTGTGTGTTTGTCTGTGAATGAAAATGAGCGCTTGTCTAACTGTGAGGCCTGTTTGCATGCAGTTTTTTTTTTTTTTTAATATTTCAAATGTGATGCGTAAAACGCACACTCCTCCTCGTAAGCCTCTTAATTATGTCCTCGATGATTTGCCTCCATCACCTGCAGCGTGTCCTATCCTTGGACAACAGCACTTTAGAGCAAGAGGGACAGAAGGGAGAAAGAAAAAGGAGGCATGACAGTGGGAATAAGAAGGAGGGTGAAAAGGGAAAATAAATAACAAGTGAGGAACGAAGAAAGTGTAGATAAAGTGTAAATAAAGAAGAGGGAAAACATCAAATATTAACTTGCCAAAGTAAAGAAAACAAAGAAATTAATGAATATTAAACAACGTTGGTTTGTATGGCCTGCCTATATTTTTCTTTCACAGTCAGAAGTCTGGGTCCTGATCAGTCCTCACAACTTCACTGAATAAAATGATAATATTTAGTGCTAACTTATCTACTTGATTCAAAGCTTATCCTGTGTTGCTGCATAGCAGTAGATGATGTTTCTACAGCATTGAAGCTTCATTATGTGTCACTAGATTTTACTTTACTTGCAGTTTCGTAATATGGGACATAAAGTCGGTAAAAAGAAAGTACATTGCAAGTCTTTACAAAAAAAGGGATAATCCACATTGCAATACAAATTGCAGCTACCTGTGGAAAAACCCGAAAACTGGTGGTTGTCAACACCCGTCTTTATTGATGTAAAGTGAGGTGCAATCACAGGGTATAGAGGAAAATAGTTAAAGTCCCGTCACAGTATTTGTCAGGTTGAGGTCTGGAGTGGGCCATCACAACGCAGATTCTTTTCTTTTTCCAGCCATTCTGTTGTAGATGACCCAAATTCGGCCAAGCTTTATCTATCACACAGATGGCCTCATATGGTCGATTCAGTGATTGGAAGATGCCCAGGTCCTGTGGTTTCAAAACAAGCTCTAATCATCACCCCTTCACAGCCATTCTGACAGTTTGTATGAGGTATTTTTGCTGATATGCAGTGTTTGGTTTTCATCAAATGTGACACCAAACATCTCCACTTCTGTATCATCTGTCCAAAGGACATTATTCCAGAAGTCTTGTAGTTTGTTCAGATGCAGCTTTGCAAACTTAAACCATGCTGCCATGTTGTTCTTAGAGAGACGAGGCTTTCTTCTGGAAAACCCTTTCAAGTAGTCCATACTTGTTCAGTCTTTTTCTATTTTTACTGTCATGATTTTTACAATTTAGCATGATAACTGAGGCTGTAGAGAAATGTACCTCTTGGTTTTTTGCAGGTCCTCTGAGCATTGCATGGTCTGACCTTAATAACATTAAGAGTTAACTTGCATGCACAGTCCTGTGAAAACTCGTTTTCATGTGATTATACCGTAAATTAAATAAAAAAATGTTTTCTTATTAAAGTTTATTTGATTAATGGATTTTTTTTTAAAAATGACACAGTCAGCCGTCAGAAGGTCTGAATTCATTTAGAAATCACACACACTCATGACAGTGACACTTAGTGTTGTCACAGCCCTTGATGAGGACTGTTAAACTGATCCCATTTTATAAGAGTGTGTGTCCCCTTGTATGTTAGACAGACAAGCAGACAGCATATTAACAGAGCAGAAAAGCCAGGTCATAAATAATGAGTGGCTTGCTTCAAGCAGAGGGCTCCAGTGAACAAGTCTCGCTTTACAGACACACATGCATGCATGCGTGCACGCACACAAACACAGCCTCTGGCGTGTTTGTGACACACTCACACATTTATCATTGGGCATGTGCAAGCCCCTAAAACAGAAGCAGTAAACGGACTGATTGTTAAGGAAACCACTTTAACTTTTAAGGTGGCTGTAGCTCAGGCGGTAGAGCAGGTCATCTACTGATCGTTGGTGGTTCCATTCCTGGCTTCCCCCTAGTCTGAATGCCAAATATCCTTGAGCAAAATACTCACCCCAAGTTGCTCTTCGATGCATCCATCGGAATATGAATGTGTGTGAATGTTAGTTAGGAAGCACTTGGTAACAGCTTAGGAAAAAGTGCTTGTGCGAATGGGTGTCATTGGGTGATTGCACAAGTTGTATAAAGCGCTTTGACTGTTCAAGATAGAGTAGAAAAGTGCTCACTAAGAACCAGTCCAAGGTAACGACAAGAAGTCAACTTTCGAGTTTCGGTGCCTTTCAGGGTTTTCAGTTAAATTCAGTCCGTACCTGCATGTACTAATATGTGCTTTGCAAATTAATCAGAGTGTTGTTTGCTGTTAAAATATAAATAACATCTGCAGGTATGTCTGGTTGTTCTCATCATCACATGGTCTCCTCCTGATTCCTTCCTCACTGACTAAACACAGACTGTGTCATCAGTCACATGTTCTCTGTGCACAAAGTTCCCACAGTGCAGCTTCAGTCACCTTTGCCCCACATTGTCAAAAAATTCAGTTCAAACACACTCAAGAAAGTTGTTTGTTCTCAATAGAAATCAAGCAGACACGTGTTTGTGTAAACGTGTTCTGGTGGTCATTTGAAAGCAGATCAATTCTAGTTTCTTGCTGCTCAAGAGAAACTTAAAAACAGATCATTTTGTTTGTGAAATCTGAAATGAACTCTATTAGGTCAACCTGTTGTTATGACAAAAGCACAAGCATGACCTAACCCCAGCTTTGTTCTGAGCTTTGAAAGAGTTTTTCCTCCCTCTGTATGGATTTCGGTCATGAGTGGCCAGCAGTAACTTTCACTGGAGTACCTGTTACACATTTTATTTAGTTAGTTAGTTTTGTTTCGTTTTTTAGGACAGATGGTGGGGGATCTGTTCTAAGGCAACAGTGTAAGACACTATTTAACTGAACAGCATGTGTAGTTTGTTCGCATCTGTTTTCTTGCTTTAAAATGATAATTTATTCCATGCATCCTTCAGTTTTCTTAACTGCTGATCCAATCCAAGGTTATGAAGAAAGATGCAGCCTATCCAGGGTGTCACCGGGTGAGAGAGACAGGTTACCAGTCTATCACCAAACTAACTTCACCCACTTAAAAAAAAAAACAGAAAAACAAGAACCAAATGATTAGTTATTTCCTTTATATTACTTACACCGGGCCTTTAGATTGATTCATCATCACTGATGATGATAGATTGGTTCTGTGGAATCGTTTGAGGAACCAAACTGTAGTTTTCAGTCAAAGTTTGCTGCATCCAAGCTTAAAGATGTTGCATCAGATCAGAAGTATTCTTGTTAAGGTATTTTTTAGTTGTGAACCATAAATTTCTTTACCAGTCAGACTGTCATTGCTGTGTTCTAGTGTAACATGCTGAGCCGTCTTAGGGAGAACACGGAGCACAAACAACCTACGGCCATATTTGGCTCATCCTCTTCCCCACAAAGAAATACAAATTGCAGGTTGTGCCTTTGACAGTGTGCAGGTGGTGAGAACAGGACTTCCATAAAGCAAGTCCAGAGGTGCACAAGGAGAAAACATTGAAGGAGAAACCAACATTCAGCTAGACAGTATATTGAACTTTTCCTTCAACTGTGTGTGAGTGGGTTTTTTTTGCTGTTCTCCACCCTGCAATTTTATTTATTTGATGCTATGTTTTTTTGTTTGTTTAAATGAATGTATTAGCTTAAAGCCTAATTCTGCTAAAACCTAAAACTGCTGTCCTTTAGCCAGACGTCAGAATAGCCGTTAAATCATTCAAGTTGCGTTTGAGGTTATATCCTGAGGCAGTTTTACACCTGAAATTACCTGCAAGTACTGAAAGGCATTTCCAAAAGCGAAGCATGCGGTGACACAGACCACCCTGAAATATGATGCCCCCGTCACCACCACCACCGCCCACTAAGTCATTAGTGTACTGTTGATTTGTTGCATGAGAGCGTAATTAAATGGGAACAGATGAAATGGAACTTGCTACATTTACTCAGGTACTTCACTATATTACAGTTGCTGCTTTCTACTTCCGCTTCACTATATTTTGAACTTTTATTGTACTACATAAATTGAAAATATTTTGAAATATAAAACTATTAGTACAGATGAAGCTAAACAGCATCTTGAGCTGCAAAATTAAAGTGATATATATATATATTAATTAATCACTGTTTATGATCCAGTAATGTTGTGCATATGAGTCTATGTGGTCGATACTTCTTCTTTATGTACTTTTAGTATATTTTGATGCTAAAACTTTGGTCTTGTTATTGAAGTAGGATTATGACTTCCAGAATCACCTTTTTTAGGATACAGGAAAACACATGAGCCCAGATGTCTCCGCCTCCGTCTTCTGTGCCAACTCAAAAAGTCTTTGAAACCCATCTGCAGCTACCTGAGTTATAGGACAGAAAAACTACTTGCTGCGGTTTCCCTGAGTAGCAACTGGGGAAAAAACCTCATCTAGGTCATCTCCACCATGTGCTATTTTACACAATGCAGAACTGGAAAAAAATAACACTGGAAAGATGAATACATCTCCTCATATTGTTTGACTCATTTTTGTATTTGTTTTCTAAAAAAAAACAAAAAAACAAAATGACTCATTTCCAAATCGAGCGGTTGTTTAAGGTGGATGTCAGTCTAAGACTTGGAAACGGCCCATATGTGCATCCATTGTAAGTCCCGATGAACAGAGATTCTGCTGTCGCTTGTAGACAAACATAAACGTACAATAGAGAACACACATTTCAGCTTAGAAATGGTCCCTTTTTATAACAGCATTGGAAATCGCTTATAGCTGTCTGGCTGACAAGTGTGCTGATTTGGATAGATAGAGCATTGTGAGAGGCAGAGTAGCGAACAAGTGCGAGGGAAGGCCCCTTTCTTTTCCCCTCTATCTCTTTTTCCTTTGAGTAGCGTTTTGCCAAGAGGAGAAGCCAAGTTGGTTTCCCGATCGTTCTGTCTCCCCCTCACAAAGGCTGACATGACTGCAGGGCTTTTCAACAGGCAAAGAGATGAGAGCTTTATCTGAAGATCCACTTCTCCTCCTCCTCCCTCCCGCTCCCTCTCTTTCCCTCTCTTCTTGGTTGTTGCGGTAAAAGCCTGTTAGCTGCGGTGTGTGTTGAGGGAAAGCAGCGTTTGTTTCTTGCTTCCTTCTCAGCTCTGTCAGCTGCTTTGCTCGCACATCCGCCGTTTACTGTTTGACATCTTGTCTCAATTCAGAAACTCGAATCGAGTGTTTATCAGTAACAAGATGATCAAGGTTTGATGTCCAAATTAGCAGAAACAGACGCTCAGGCACTGTTCGCCTTATACAAACCATATTTAGAGGAGAAATTGTAAGGCTTAGAAACATGCTATAGACCGAAATATCAGCACCAGCAGCTGCCAATAAACAGAGCAACATCTTGACGCCAGAGAAGCACACAGTTTATTAGTATATGTGTAATGAAAGCAGTGACACAATCTGGGTCACTTTATTAATTTTTTGCTCTCCCTAATCCTTATATTTGTATTTTGTGTTAAAGAAGATCTTCAGAGAGGCAGAAGTGATGCCTGTGGTTCCAGCTTCAGTGACCTTCAGGTAGCGAGGACGCAAAGTGTAGCGGACCCTCCACGCTCCCCATCAACACAGTGAGTCACATGTACCATGTGCAGTTCCACATTTGTCAAGTGTTATCTGTTTAAACTGGTTTTCAAACACGGTGTGACATCCTTAGATCTAGAACCATATTTGTATATTCATATCAAAGCAAATTTTCCAGATTCTCCTCCCTTCTCCTCCCTTCTTGAGGAAGAAAACAACACGTTAATGCTGAAGCTTCAGTATGGAGAGTCCAGAAATGAGTCCGAGACGGTACGGTGGTTGTGTCTAACTTTTATGTGGTCTATGATCAGATTAAAGTTACAAAATCTTGCCTTTTTATGACTGAGAGACATTACAGCTTTTACACTGATACCCGATTAGTCATGGACGCTCTTTTTCAGGACATGCGTGATGGCATCAGAGAAGAGGCACTAGAAAAAGACTGTAAAGTTATCAAAGTGGTGCATATGACACTGTAAAGGCTGTAAGCTTTGGACTGAGGTCCTTTAATGTTAGTACATACGCTCACCAGCCAATCATTAGATACTCCTTCCTAGTACTGAGTTGGATCCCCTTTTTGCCTTCAGAACTGCCTTAATTCCTCAAGGCGTAGATTCAGCAAGGTGCTGGAAACACTCCTCAAAGATAAGATGACATCACACAGTCGCTGCAGATTTGTCCACCGCACATCCATGACGTGAATCTCCTGTACCGCCAATTAATGAGCAGTTATTTGAGTATTATGCATTTAATTATGAGTGATGATTCATCTCTGGCTCTCTTCCACTGCATGCCTTTTGTCTTGTGTCCCTCCCCTCACCCCTAACTGGTTGCTGCAGATGGCTTGCCCCTCTGTCAGCCTGGTTCTGCCAGAGGTTTCTTCCTGATAAAGATGGAGTTTTTCCTTCCCACTGTCGCCAAAGTGCTTGCTCATAAGGGGCCGCCTGATTGTTTGGGGTTTCTCTGTGTTATTGTGGGGTCTTTACCTTACAATATTAAGTCACTGGGTATTTTCTGTTTTTAAGACCATTCTCTGTAAACCGTAGGCATGGCTGTGAGGGGAAAATCCCAGCAGATCAGCAGTTTCTAAAATACTCTGAACATGGTGTGGTTATTGGTGCGAAACAGGCTGCTGAAGTTGCCTTTCCTCCTCATTCTGATGGTCACAACTTCAGTAGCTCGCTTTGATCATGTCTGCATGCTTAAATGCACTGAGTGATCAACTGACTAGATATTCGCATTAACGTAGTAGCTGGTGAGTGTATTTTATGTCCTTCTGGATAAAAACAAGAAGCAACAGGTTTTGGTGAAGCGTGATTTGCTGATCACTTTAACCTCTTTCCAAACACACACAGTATAACACTGTTCCTTTACCCTTTGTGCATATAGTGCGAGAGAATTAACCACAATACATTTGTGGATCAGGCAGATAAACAAACGTAAACTTTCTATAGTGTTAAGAGGTTACAAATGCAGGCGATACTATACTGTCACAATCATTTGACACTTTGTTTTTGCAAAAATGTTGACTTGAGCTGCCATTTATATTTAAAAAAAAAAAATTTAGTTCAGCTCACTACAAATAAGGCATCCAGACACTGCTACGTTCCCCCAGAGGTTCTGCATTGTCTGCTCATGAATCGTATGAGAGCGTCTGTGGCCAAATGACCCAGCTGCAGCCTAAGAGCCTTCACTCCCAGCGACATTTCAAATGTCAAAACCACATCAGTTCCGGGTCTTACGCTTCCAGCGATCCCAGAGTTGAACCGGGAGCCACATTTTTAAAACGCCACCAGAGTCCATTTTCACTACGGCTCAGTCTCCAGAGTGCAGACCAAACTCAGTGTTTCAGAGTGATTGTTTAATACAATCGTCCACATGAATGACATGTTGAAACAGTGTGACTAAAGACGCGCTGAAAGCATCCCTCTCCGTCTCTCACACACAAACATACACACAAACACAGCCACATCCACGGCTCTATTATTGTGGGATGGTGGTGGGGTGGGGAAGTGATGGAGGGGCCTTCCTTGTCATACCCCAACTAACATATTGGAGTATTTATATGGGATTTGTGTGCATTAGATAAAAAGGCACTCTTGTTCTTTTCATCCTCATAGGCTTTTCATGGCTGTTTGACTGTAACACTGATGACTCTCTGCTGCACCCCCTCCACCCTCCAACCCCTCCACTCTGCGTTTCTCTAAGCCCCTTCCATCCACCCCAAATCCTTTCCTATCGGCCAATTTAAACAAGCTGGGTCCAGAGAGAGAGAGAGAGAGAGGGGAAGAGACAGAGATGCTGTGTCCTAAGCTCTTTTTAAAAACAGTAAAAGGAACGAGACGAGGGAAAAAAGAGCGGTAAAGAGGGTTAGGGCGATTTGGCAGCCAAAAGCCCAGTCGTACTACCCCAGGTCTTCCCCTGCACCACTGACAGAGGCTAAGAAAGCAGATCCCCAAACCTCCCCAAAGATAATGGCCACAGAGAGGAAGAGACAAAGCTTCTGCTTTTTTATTGCACCCCCCCCCCCCTCCTCCTCCTTTAGAACAATTTTTATATTGAAACACCCCCCACCCCCCCTCCTCTTTTGTAATCTGGTCTCCGATGAAGTTTCATTGTTTCTCATGTGAAGCCAGTGACAGCTTAGCTGAGATTGAGTAGGGCAGGAATTATAGCGCAGGCGTTTTCCCGTTTGGCTCGCTGAGAAAAGAGCGGAGAAAGAGAGGAAGGCGAGCACAATGGCAGTTTGGGGGCTCCTCGCCGATTCCCGCCGCATTCCCCAAATCCGACTCGAAGTGAGAGAGAACAAGACGGAAATCTGGGAAGCGTCCCAACGTTCCTTTGATGGCTGCTGGCCTCTCTCGCTCATCACACAGTCTTCTGTCAGTGGAGGAAGGAGAATGCAAGATTTCATTTTTTTATTTTTGCTTACTGGAGGCCAAAGTTACTGTGAGCATTCAGAGCGACAGAGAGCTGAGAATTTCCGTTAACAGTTTAATTTATGATGATAAATGATAACGATAAATGCGCTGACTGTGACTTCTTGGTGTGACTTAATCTAAAGTTGTAAAGGAAAAACTAAAAATGTTCATGTTTGAACATTTGAAAGGTTGAGAGAAGTATCTGCTTGCAGTTCAATTCTGTCTTACCGACCATTTATATTTATATTTCTGGTAATGCTATAGAGAAAAAACACCTTAGTTTTAGCAGTTTCAGCAGTAACAGTGGTGTGTATCTAAATCTGTGATGGAAACGGACAAACCAAACACTGTAAAACTAAAGTTTCAGATTCATTGAATTCATTAAATCTCTATCTGAAATATAAACTAGAAGCAGACTTAAAACCTTAGTGGACAAAGCAAACCCAAGATGAATAAATACAAAAACTTTTTTTGAAATAAGACAGCTTTAGTAGTTGAAAAATTGGACAAGGGGAAATAGTCAGGTGTAAAAACCTGCGCTGCTTTCACAAGGCCGAATCATCATAGCCAGATAATTGGATGGGAGCTCTCTGAGGTGGCAAAGCTCATAAGGTGCTTTGAGTAACCAGTGGTGACCAGAGAGGTTCAAAGGGGGGAATGAAACATGAACCAGCGACGGGATCCTGGAAAAAGTAGTGGTTTGGGGACGCCCAAAAAATTCCAAACCACAGCCAAATGGTCAATAAAATTATTTTCTATAAATCAATGTATTGCTTAAAAGCATGGAGTAATACAGGCTTAATGTCTGCATTGCTTCCTTCCTCTTTTGGGCCAGTAGAAAATCTCATGATTTCACACTTCATGTCAATCTGTCGTTAAATTTCTCTTTTATCAGTTGCAGTGAGCTTTTCCTGAAACTGCATAGCTTAGCCTGTTAGCCAGCTGGAGAAGCTCGTGAGTGAGTCCAGACCTGCTAAATCAGTGCTGGGTTTATAAGAGGGTTCATGGATGATTTCTGCTTGTCTAAAGATCTCTGCCTTTCAGGATTTGCCGCTAATGGTTTTGTGCCAGATATAGAACCTCAGAGGCTAACAGCATATTTACTTTATCATAATGTTTCTGGTCTTATCTATTCTGTGCTTTGTTTTACGAACGTACTCATTCGTTCAGTTTTAAACAACATGAAACATGTGTCACCAGCTCTATTTTCTTTCGTCAGTGCTGATGGAGCAGCCAGTCGGAGGAGACAACAACCAGAGACCTTACATTTGACCGTCAACCCAGACGTGCTCAGGATGCTGAAACAAACAGGTAAGTCTGCAGGTATAAATGAACAGTGCAAAACTCTCTCGGAGGATGACATTGCTAGTCAGCTTTGGTAAAAAAGTGAAACCTGTCTTATTGTAAAGAAACCATAGCTAGGTTTGATATCAATGTCTACTAAACTTTTTACTTTTGAATCAGTTTAGCTTTTTTTAGATGTCTTTCCAACATCTTGGTTAGTGTGGCCAAGGAGAGGAGAAGTCAGGGCATCTCTACTTAGACTGCAGCATCCTTTGACCTGATTGCAGAAGAGGCAGAAAATTGATAGATGGATAGACTGATGGATCATTTTTCACCTGGTTTACATCTAGACTGAGTTTAGATGCAAACCTAGCAGACTTTATTAAATGCTTAAAAAATGAAAACAAGAAAATGATTAACCTGAAGATGATGACCAGAGAAATACAGAGTTTTGTGTATGATTTTGTGTATGATTGAAGACCATTCATGCATGTTAGATCTCATCCGTGTCCTGTTATTGTGGCTCTTTCTTATTTAAAGAAGTCACGCCAACATAATTTTTCTCATTTGTACAGGTACTTATACCTGTACAAAGCATCTGATTTCTTTCTGGCTCGAGTTACCTTCCCTTCCCAAATCTAGAATTTAAGCCAAAACTGCAGATCTAATAATTGAATCCACTATGTTTACGTTCCTTTGACTTTAGATTAATCCACCCTCCATTTTGCTGTTAATCATCCCAAACTGCCTACAAGACAACAAGTGCTTTCACCAGTAACAGCTGATGGAGAGAGCGTGCCCATTATTTTAAAGAGCAGCTAATAATGTTCAGCATTTCAGTGTCAGGGCCACGTTTTAAGCCCCGCAGCAATTCTCCGGCGACATTCAGCCTGCTTTTTATTCTCTAAACGTCGCCTGAGTGCTCTGCTCTCCCCGTCTCAGATGTCTGAGATGACTAACTGGTCATTTAGGAAAAATACCCATTAAGAAAACATCACTTCTTCTTCTTCTTCTTCTTGTAGCTGCGCTGCCTCCTCCCTCCATCCTGCTCTCTCCATTTTAATAATTCCATTTTTTCCTTCTTTTTTTTTTAGGTGATTAGCAATTGTCTCTGCATCAAATCGCTCTGTCATTCCATAATCCGGACTGTAGGCTATTGAGGGGAATTTGCATCACTGTTTTAAATATCTGTATATGCACGTCAGGGTTTTAATGTCAATCATAACCTTATTAACGCAGCGCTCAGAGCGAGAGAGATCGCCATGAGTGACAACAGTTTACGTTCGTTAAAACCCAGAAAAGGCGACGTGTCCGACCTGCTGAGCGAGCATGTAACCTGTTCAGGCGTTCAGCTGCGTGTGTTTACGCGCCGTGGGGCTGTCGTGTGTGATTATGCATGTCTAATGTTTGGTTGTTGTACTTGTTTCAAGTGTCATGGCTGGTTTACGGCAGCATCGAACATCATTCTCAGATGCCTTCTGTCGTTTTGTTCTGCAGGAAGCAGCAGAGCTGACGGAGACGGAGTGAATGTAAGTTGACTGATAGTTAAGTAACGCGGTTGCAGAAGCTGCAGTTTAGTGCAGAAAAACATGTAAAGTTTTGCATTTATGATCAGTGTATAAACACGTATTAATGCTAATAATGCTCTGCATTTACAAGCAGTTATGAGGACATTTAGGAGTTTGTTAATGTACAGTTTTTATAAGCAATCACAGCTTCTCATATTAAGACACATTAACTCAGAGCTCGCTGTGATTTAGTGCTGTCGTGATGGCAGAGTTTCATGATTACTGCGCTAAAAAAGTCTCACTACGGGAGTTATTGTGACACCTGTAGAAAAATAACTAATACAACCATCCTGTCAGTGAGTTACACATAACTTTATTTATTGTCATTTATATAAACTTTATATAAAAATCCATGGACAGTCTATAACCATAACAGTGTAATCGCTCATTTCTGATGTTCTTAAATGTGCACTACTGGTCTCGCTCTGTTTGGCACGCCGTGATAGTTATATGGAGTCCCACACCAACAGTTCAGCTGACTGTAATTCATGAAGGTGAACAACTAGAAAAGTGTGGCTGTGTGGATTTATCCTCAGTGAAACCCCAAGATCACAAGCAGGGAGACCAGCGGCTGAAAGACTGTCGCATAAGATCGCAAAAACAATCCTTAGCTTCCGTTCATGGTTCGAAAAAATTGGGGCATCAGTAAATCCATGCTTCACGTGAGCGATGCAAACCAGAGCAGTCGCTGTTTAGCATCAGTGACATTTCCCACATTGTCCTAGATAAACTCATAAACTTTGCCCCACATTTGGTTGGTTGGAAGCTGCTAACCGTAAATGCAATCATTATCTAACAGTGCGGTGAAAGGACACCTTTGCAACAGCGTCATAAATGTGACTGCTTGCATTGGAGTAATTTATACAGGTGGACGTAATTAAGTGGCCAGTGAGTGTCAATCTTTTATTACCTGAATTATCTTAATTACTGAAATGAGGGTTAAATTTATAGTTGTTGATAATAGATCAAACTGCATGAATTCAACTTATAGACTCGTAAACTGAAACGAGAACTAAATAAACAATGTGTGTATTTATTTATATGTATAAAAGTAAACAAAGAGAAGTTATTGCATTAGAGTTGAACAATACCTGGAGGATGTCTTATTGGACTGCTGTTTACAGTGATTAGCCAATTAGATATTAAAAAATTAAAAATTAATATATGCTGTTATTTTTATTACATTTGATAACATTTATATTACATTGGTCACTTAGTTCTTTTTATTGTTTTTACAGGATTAATTGTTCAACAGACTGTTGGATGATGAATATAATAAATGCAGAAATGACTGCAGCGCCATATGTTTATATTTATATAATAGTCATTATTCATGTTTATTAAGGGGGATGTTTCTGTTTCTTCCTCAGGATGATGACGACGACCCCGGGATGCTTCATGTGGTTCATTTAGGGATGGTTTGAAAAGACTAACGAACAACAGATAAGACTTTATTAATCCCAGAGGGACACAACATCTCACCAATAACAAGCACAGTAGTTACTTTGCTTGAAGCTTAATCTATAAAGGGTTTAAAAGTCCCCTCATTCACAGCCACACATGGAAAACTGTTTATTTTTTTATACCTGTCATAGAACATTTCAGCCAAATCATAAACATGAAATTCACTGAATTCAGCTTATTTCGTGTCTTTGTGAAGTCTAAACCAAATGAACCCTTGAAGGAAACACTTACCTGCTTCTTCTTTTAAAAACACGGCAGAAAATGTTTAAAACCTTTACATTAATCAGCCTGAAAAAATAAAGACTCCCATTTTACACTCATCTCACTGATATTGGATGTTCCAGGCTTCCTCTGCACGCGCATGTGTGCGTGTGCGCCGAGTAAATGTGTGTGTTTGCGTGTTGGACGAGATTACAGGCCGCAGTTTTATTCATGAACGGGAGCCAACCAGCGACTTTAAAGCATCGCGCGGAGCCCCTTTCCTGAACAGCAGCCATAGCCGTGTCAGAGCTGTCGACGCGCTGCGCTCACCGACTAATCTGACAGCGCCGCGCGAGCCCTAATCCCTCACTGTATCGTAATCTATTTACTTTGCATTCTAAGAGGATTTCCACCAAAAAATATACAAGAAGCGATGTTGGAAATGGACAGAAGATCAGCGAGGATGCTTTTCTGCTGTTTTTTTTTTTGTTTGTTTGTTTGTTTTGTTAGCTTTAAAAAAAATCATTGTATGTTTTTCGGGGAGTCAATCCTCTACGAAAGGGATGGGTGAAAGGAATTACATTTCTGACTGATACTAATACTTCTCTTATGTAAACATCAAAATGTTATATTTCCCTTCTGATGATACAGTCACACTGCAGAGGCAGCTGGAGATAAGTGGCATCTGTCGCCGCCTTTAGTGCATCTCTTGACACGTTTATAATTTACAAACCAAGGCTGCATTATCTCCTGATTGTTTGACTTGACAGCTTGAATAAAAACTGCAAAATTGCTTAACAGGCAAACACGGGTCCCTCCCATCCCTCCAATGGCCTACACAGTCACCTTTTTGACATGCAAACAGTGAAAGCTCATAATACAAATGAAATTTCATAATACAGAAAACAAAGTGGGAGACCAAATGCTCTCCTCGGTTACCCTTTAAGCAATTATGTCAGCTTTGTGAAATCCTAAATAGTTATGCTTCATTTAAAATGTGGCCAGCAGCTTTTATTTATGAAACACCGCCTCACGCTCCAATCTTTGCCATCCGAGATGACTTGCGGAGATAGGCTTATTAGTGGTATTAACATACTGCGCGGCGTGCTGGAGCTGTGAAACGGCCTTGTTAACATTTGGAAATGAATCAAGCCTCCAGCATTTGCTATTATCCAGGTTATCTGCCTATCCCCCCCCCCCCCTCTCTGTGCAACAGCTGTGCTGTTTCTCTGCACTGCGTCTAATGATGGCCCTGATTGGACTGATACGGTTCCCCCCTCAGGGGGACGTTTGTATGATTTATAGGTTTGTTTCTGATCTCTGCGAGAGAAATCCCTAAAATATTATAGACAAATATGTCAAGACCATTAAAGACATCAAAGAGACAAGTTTACTTACAACGGAGAGTTTTTAGAAGGAAGAGATTCCCTGAAAAACAAAGAAATATACTGACTAGTGTTACGGTTTCTCTTTGTTGTTGGTTCTCAGGTGATTGAGATGCACTTTGCTTAAGGATCACACTGCGATCGCTTCATCGAGAAAAGTGCTCGGTTATAGTTTAGCATATCTAGTTTTAATATCTGTTCCTGAAAAAGCCTCACAGACAAAAGCGTTATATCTTGATTCTCTGATTCGAACAGTTTGTTTTTCCTTTCTTTTCTTTTTTGTTAGACTAAACAAAAAAATAAAACACGGGTAAATAAAATAAATATGATCTGATGGGTCCTGTTATAGATTCTGGAGACTTCTTATGACAGCAAATTATACACACGTTATAGTTTTATCAGGCTGATACTTCATGAATGTGGCTGATTTTGTCAGATTTTCTTACAAAGTTTTCTTTTGATGTACACATGAGCTGCAAAACACTGTTAGTTATTTTCTTTAAAGAAAATTGAATTCTGAAATCCCCAAAAGATGCATTAGGATTTGTCTTCTTTTGATTTTATGAGCTGAACTAACTCTCAGACTGAAATAAATGTGCATGCAAATAATGTAAACACGTATAGAAATCTATATTTCCTCATGCGTGGTCCAAGTAACTTTATTTCTTTGCTGTGAGATTTTAATTTTGAAGGTTTACGGTCATAGTACTGCATCATTTTTATGCATTTCTGCCCCTGGCATCTGTTTGTGAAGAGAATCTTGTCTCTGAATGAAAAAGAAAATGTGGCCAACACGTCAGACAGCGATGCGTTGACACACAGAGACGACGTCCGCTGCGGGGAAGCGCTAAAGCCTGCAGGCCAACCAGCCCTCCATTAAGCCCTCCCAAGTCTGGTGGGCTGCAAGGAGAAGACAAGTTGTAACTTGGGATGATGAGTCTGCTGCATCCTTTGCAGATGAGATAATGTAAGCACTCTTCAGATACCTCTCTAATCTATCCCCTCCTCGCTGTGACGCAACTGATGCATGAGGAAAGAGGACAGGAAGTGGGGCTGTCATCAGAAAAACAAAAGTCAGATATGAGGGGTGTCGTCCTTTGCAGAAATCAGCGAGAGCTGCTTTCGCCGGTCCAATCTTGTCTGATTTCCCTCCATCAGCCACTTCAAGGGAGGAAAAGGAGGAGGAAGGAAGTGCGTGACTGCTCAGCTGATCTCAGAGCAGCACAAAAGCCTCCAATCATTTAATTTAATGGTCTACAGTAACAGGACTTCAGTGGAGACGGTGTTGGTGATTAGCAAAACCCAAGTAAGATAATGGCAGCAGTGGTGTAGGAGGGCAGTATCAGTGTAAGCAAACATCTAGTCAAATACATCTGATTCTGCCCTGCAGTTTGGACTTCCTTTGCATGTTGACAAAAAAAATGTTAAATCTCAATGTCACCATTTTATTCTACCCATGTCAATAAAAATGCCAACTTTTCAGCCTTGTTGCCCCCATCAGACCTCTTTTCCTTTGGCTAATTCAGCACCACATGCCCATGGTTCAGACGGTGCAAGTTCATTTGGTGTTTTGTGAAACTAAACTGATGTGTGGCTGCTGGTTCTTGTCCCTGTGCATGAGTTAACAGCAGTATTTTAAAGAGCAGAATTAGACTTCACAGCAAACGAAGTGCACGCAAGGTCCCAGGAGGTCAGGAGGCCACAGTTCTTGTCTCCTTTGTGAGCTTTTTGTGTTTTGCACTTCTTTGTTTTCACTCACTCGTTTGTTTAATTTTCACTCGCTGGATAGGTTTAAGAAAATATTGTGTTTAAATATGCTCCATTACATTATAAACCCGCAGGCTCATAGTGATGCTTAAGAGTACTCAGCGCATTTAAATGGGACATGGTTCCCACTTTTGCTGGTAAAGCAATTTCCTGTAACTTGCCGATAAGTTCTGTGGTTTCACCCACCGTTCTGTCTCCATATACAAGTAGTGTTGAACCACAGAGCTCCAGCTGCCCTCAAATACCGACTAGAAGCTTGTCCTCCATTCCTGATGTGATGGTGTCAGGAGGATCCACTGACTTATTTTCTCCCAAAGTTGAAATATTTCCACATCTTTATTTAAACTTTGTGGATTTCCATCGCTAACATAAAAAAGGGAGGATTGTTAGATGCCATGCGAGTGAATGAAAGTGGGTCTTTTTAGTTATTATTTATGGGTGTAAATTTGAAATTAAGTCATTAATATCAAACTTTTATATAGAAAGAGATCAAAAGCATGCTAGCTACTAAATTTACCAAATCATCACGTGCATAAGTGCAGCTTCACGTGGCTCCTATTGTGGTTGTAAATTTGTTTACCGGCCTTCATCCTTCATTATAATGAGGATTCTTTGCAAATTAGTACAATAAGCCACCTGGGCCTACAGTGTTTCTGTGTAAATGCACAATTTTCTGCCACAAAAAGCATTTTGTTTTTAAATTATGCCTTTTCATGCTTGTTTTAAGAAAAGCTCTCACAAGTGTTGGATGTCTCACTAGCTGAAAACTGAGAATCACCAACAAAGTGACCAGAGCTGTCTACCTGACGTAAAGAGAGGTGACCAAATCTCTCAGCACGCTTCAGGATCAGGTAACCCGTGTACTCCTTTAATTCCACAGAAATGGGACGGCTAAGACTCTATGTACAAATTGTCCCTAGTCTGTCCTCTGCTGAACTAAACCTACAGCTCCCAAACCCAAGAGGAATTTCATGAATGCTCTCAGTGCCTAGTGCCACAGGGGTGACTAAGCTGCTTTCACTCCACCAGCTCGGCTGCGCCGGCCGCCTGGACTCAGCTGTGAAATCCTCGGTGGTACTCTCGGCTTCTTTGAGTCTCAATGACGAACTCAAGGGGTTGAAGGGTTTTTAGGCCAGAAAACATTTCAAAATTACTAAATAAACCAAAACAAATCAACCAAGCTACCCTTTTTTAAAATTCCCACACCTGATGTTCAACTAAAGAATTTAAAAGCAGGAAACTGAGGCCTTGCCTGACAAAGCACAGAAACCTGAGACGGTGGCCCGGACTACTCCCATGTTGGTGTACAGTTGACCCCAGATCAACCTCTCAGGTAAATTTAATCCTCCTCTGTATCACCCTTCACTCTTCATACCGGCCTATGAACACAACAGGATGCCAAGGTCTGGCGACAGTCGGCAGCCAATGAAAGACAAGCGTGAGTGCTGTTTTTTTCCTGTCCTGCATGGAAATGGAAGACAAGAAAACAGTCCCAGCATGCAGGCTGCTATCGGTGCATCTGCCGGGCCTTTCGGATCTTTGTCTTGCGCACACATACACACTGACTTATCGAAGCCCAGGAGTGCTCGCAAACCAAATACTGGAGGATCAGTCCGGTTTCTGTCTTTATCTTTTCTGTCTGTCTCTTTTTTACTTTCCTAGATACAAATCTCAAACCACTCATGCGAGGACCGTCCGGCATGGTTCCAGTTCATTTCCTGGACAAAGTGTGAACAAAGTGTCAACAGTTTCCAGTCCACCCACATTCACACACCTTAACCGCAAAAGATGAGAGGCCAAAAGGTCAAATCAGCTGACAACAGGGGGACGTTGTGCTGCGATCGATCGTCCCGTTGAGCAGAATATGAAGGTGTCAGACCCTCAAAATCAGGCTTATACAAACACTGGTCACACTAATAGTTCAATAACACCCTTTTTAATTATTAAAATATCACATATCTAATATACTCCTGCAGGAAAACTGCTGCAGCACTCTGTTTTTGTATCTGTGGATTATTGTTTTAAGGCTTTAATTCTCCCTGTCAGCATTTTAGAGCATCGCATTGCCAACATTCAGGTGAAAGAACTGATTATTTGTAGTTCTGTTTATCCGTTATGTTGATTAAACGGTGTCCTCAAAACACCCCCATGATTCCGATCAACTAAAGTCCTCCAAGAATTCAAAAACTGATTGCAAAACATGTGAGATGAACAAAGACAGAGACTGTTTGGCTGGATGATATCATATAAATATAAAGGTTTCTCATTGGTGGAGCTCGGTGGAGCTCAGGTGAGGCCATGTTTTGTGTGTTTAGCTTTTCTGCACGTTATTGTTGTGAAACGTGGGGAAAATATCATTTGAATTTGTGCATTTTTCAGCAAATTTCTTGTTTTAATTTATAATAATTTCTGTCTTATTTTCAGGTCGATAAATATTCCAGTCCAGTTTTCAGATCAGTCAGAACATTTTAGGATTAGAAGACAATGTTCCAACACATTTACGTCGTTTTAGAACTACATCAGGTGTAAAAAGAAGTGTGGTGCGTTTAATGTTGTCTTAGGGAAAACGAACTACATGTCTGCGTTGTTAAGTCAATCTGATAGCTTCCCCTGTAGTATACATTACTTGAAAATTTTTAAATCTTAGTGTGTGAAACAGTAGAAACAATGCAAACTAAACAATGTGGTTTTGTTTTTTCGACCTTTTGCTAAGCATTTAATTCACCATCACCTCCTTTAAGCTTGAACAGAACTGCACTTGAATTCACTCCTGATGGATTTAAGCCAAATAATTTCTTGACTTTCAAAGGTTTGAATTCCTTCGTTTGACACCAAAATTAATAAGTCAACAACTGAAACAGCAACACTAATATATTAATTATTAATTAAAACGATCGGATTATTTTCCAGGATTTTTGTAAAAACTGAAACTTCCTTCTTTTTGGCTCCTTTCTCATTTTAGGTGGGCCATTGCTGCATTTTCGCAGGTGTACCAAAGTGCTGCTTCGTGCGCTTTATTGCTCTCTAACGCTGCGCAGAATCAGATTGCATTTGCGGGAGTAGTTTAGCCTTAAATCCCAGATTTTAATCCCTGCATTGTTCGCACTGAGTCTGATTACAGTCTGTTTTACACTCTGATTTCCTGCTCGACTGTTTAATTGGAACCGCGGCTTCGCTCGCTCAGAGGAAACTAGATGAAAAGCGCGTCTTTTCACTCCAGCTCGTGTTTGAAGGTGAGCAGCTGCCTCACGAGAGACCTGTGGCTCCCTCAAACTCCTTAAACCATCGCGCAAGAGCGGCAGCAAATATTTGTTTGATGCAAATCCGAACAAATCCGCCGCTCGCTGCGCTGTTTGCGCGTCTTGGCGCAAACACGTTTAATGTCCTGGTCTGCAGATATTTATTCAGCTGCTGCGAGACTCATTTGCATAAAGGGAGAGATAGAGAAATGGAGGGAGAGGGACAGAGTGGGAGAGGGCCGGCTGCAGCTGAAACGGACTCCACACGAGCAGGAACCTGAAATATGTATCGATCAGACTGATAATCTGATCAGGGCAACAGGAAAAAGAAAAAAAATCTCCTGAATTTTACCTTTTTATGCTTCAAATAGACTCAATTTTACGTCGTGACCTTTCCTCACAGGCGGAATAAAACTGCTTCTGTTTGTTTGCGTCGCTTTCAGAGGCCTTAAAGCGCCAGAACGACCCAGATTTTACCGGGGGAAAAATTCAAAGTCAAAGCAGTTTCTTGTTGTTGTTGTTGTTTTTTTTTTTACATTATTTGTTGCTATAATTTCCATTTCTGGTTTGGATCTTTTAAATCAAACAAAACCAGAGACTTCTGCGTAAAAGTGCATACATTTGTAGGATTTAACTTCTCACTGAGACGTATTTAAAAAGCAGAACTCAGTTGGCAAAACTGTGGCTTTCATTTTAAAAATATTTGAACCAATAAATGCAAAAAAAAAGGAAAATAAATTCCAGCGTTACTGTTCTCACCTTTTATAAGTTATCCTCCTTTTTAAAATATATAACTTTGTGTTTCAGACGTTTTGTTGATTTTTCACAGACAGAAGTATAGAAATAATCAGCGAGAGAGACACAGAGAGAGAGAGCCCTGTAATAATAAACAGAATTCAATTTGTCTTCATTAGCGGGCAGAAAAGAAAGTGCGCACAACCTGCTCATTTTCTTTGCGCAAGGATGAGGGTTTAATTGGGGCAAATAATTAGCCTGAACCTCCCGCTCTCTGTGCGGCCTTCATTGCTCTAAACGCGTCCAAAACAACCTTGCCAGTGCACTGACGCGATTTTTTAAAACTACCCCCCTCCTTCCTTTTGATATTGCCCCGGAGCAGAAACGCATTAAACACACACACACTTACATGTGACCCCCTAACCTGGCCCCACCTACGTAATTACCGCATCAGAGGCGGTGAAATTCCTGCAGGATATTTTGGAGAAACCAACTCGGGGCGCAGGAGTAATTATCACGCCATTACAGCGCTGCGTTCAATTACGCCTCGATCAGCTGTCTCCCGGCTTACTGTTTGGACTGTTTGGTGAAGGAGGTTAACTTTAAAAAAAAAAAAAAAAAAAAAGATTATTATTTTATTTTAAAAGACACTTTGCTTCCCTAAAGCAAGGAGAGATGTCAGCATTTCAATTTAAAGGCAGACACTGAGAGGATTAAACGGCTGCTCTCTAAAAT